AGTTTACAGTTGTGGTTCTGTAAAAAAACAGAATGTGGCTGGCAACCCAGCTGCCAGTGTTGTACTGTAAATTTACAGGGAAGTTTTACAGTACCACTGTAAACAAAAATTAAATTACAGCATGATACTGTATCTGGCAACTACAGTACAATACTGTAAATGTAGTTTACAGTTGTGGTTCTGTAAAAAAACAGAATGTGGCTGGCAACCCAGCTGCCAGTATTATACTGTAAATTTACAGGGAAAAGTTTTACAGTGCTCCCTCCTGCAGTACCAGTAACCCCCCCACCTTCAGCACCACCAGACTTAACCGTGCACCAGAAGCCTGATCACAAACTCATGACCTCTCACCCTCATGACCTGTCACCCATTATCAAGCCATTTGTATCTCACTCAGCTATTTAAACTGGCAACCAACGTTTCTACGTTTCATAGACATTAATCAGTACTGTGGAAGTTCTAGTGCTATTGATCTCATTGAAAAAAATCTGGGAATTAAATTTTTTCGCAGTGCTGAGCTTTTTCTGTAACAGTGCTTTGTGACAAACTTGCTTGCAAACTTGACATCCTATATTCGATTTAAATGTTGAGTGTTGGAAGTCAACAGTCAAACACCCTTGAATCACATGTCCAGGCTTGGTTGCACTTTCCAGTAAACGTGCTTCCTGTGATAATGATCCTCAGTCACGGTCTGCGTGTTGAAAAGCACCTGCATTTCAGCCCCGTGCGGGGTGGGGTGGGGGGGGGTGGTCACACCCTATTTAGGAGCCAACACCCGACTCTGGAATCTCAGCCATGTCGCACAGCCCCTGTCACGGTTGTCATGGGAACTATACCCGCTCGCCACAGAGATGCACCGGCCAATGGCTCTGCAGATAGCCAATCTCTAAGTCTTATTATCTGTCTGTCTGCTGGTGGATAAATCCTCAAAGCTGATGCTAAAGGCGTATAAAAAAATGTAATACAGAATTTGCTTTGGAGGGGGCCGTTTGGTGGGAGACAACATGACAACGGAGCACTTTTCTAGGCAGACGTAGACTGACATTAATCTGTTGGCTGATGGTGCATGTCGGGCTAAATATTAACCACTTTTCCATATAAATCATAACTCGAAAGGCCGTTGATTGAAGACATTCATTTTGTGAATTGGGATTTTGTGCCACGGTAGGGTGGGAGGTTTTAGGGTTGCTGTAGTTCATCGGGTTGGCATTTCTCACCTGGCAGTGAGCAGACTGGCACCATCCACTTCCCACCCTCCCTGGCAAAAAAATAACGATAAACGGGTGTGTCACATTGCTGCCGCTCTGTCCCAGCATAAGCTGGCCCGGGAATGTGATTGAAGGTTTGCAGCTGACTAATCATATATCTGCCCAGACTGACGCCAACTGTACGCATTCAGGATTACAGGTCCGTCCTGCACCAACATGCCAGATATGATGTATGGAAATATTTGGTAGAAAATACCAGTGCATGTGCAGTACCATCTGCTGGATGAGATGACATCACCCCAGCGCACTCAGACAGTGTGCCGCGGGTCTCCTAATTTCTTATTTATAATGGAAAGATGTCAATCCTGCTTGATGTACCAGCACACCGTTTAGCGTGTAGCTATGGGTTTACCCAGGCCGAAGCCCAGGGGCCTCCCATTAACAAGGGGTCTCAACTGGCCTTGTTTAACAACATTTACCCCCCCACCCACATTGGTCTCCACACCCAACTCCTTGCCCAGTTAATTCCTTGTCTCATGCACACCCCCTTCTGACTCACAGTGACCTGATACTGGATGAATAAGTGGAATGGATGGATGGAACGATCCACAAATCCAAGCGACTCAGACTTAGCAGACTGACTTGTGCCGAAGAACAAGTTGATTCATTCTATAGGTTTGTAACGGGTGCCTATGGCTCTTATTAACATAATAAAATAATTATCCTTTTACAAACAATCGGCAAGATTTTTTCTTTGAATTTCTGGACGTGTTCTATGGGTGGAGTAGGACAAGCTTGGGAGAAAGCAAACAAAGTGTTCTCTTGTCAGTTCTGACTTGCGTGAGGCTTTGATGAGAAAATTAGACTGGATAATTGTTAGCAACTTACTGTGATCGGGGAGGTCCGCAGCTTCCAGGAAGCTACATTGTAACCAGACAATAAATGAGCTGAGTGAATGTAAAGGGGCCGGACCTCAGCTGTAACATGAAGAGTTCTACAGTTCCCTGGGTGGAATAAAGGATCGTCTATCGTCTTATCTTGCCTTAATATTAAGTTCCTCTTCAAAGCTGGGAAAAATACAACACTAGCTGGTGAATATTTGACAGGCTCAAAGTGTGTAAACAGAGCAGGGAACAAAATAATATAGACAGCAGAAGTTCAACAGGCAAGTGGTGAAACATCAACTAGACCAACTATGAACAGCCACACATACTGCCCCCCCCCCCACTATTTCTCTTACTGGAACAGTTTGTGGCATCTTATACGGGATCATCGTCATGACGACTGGCATGATCCTATCAGGGACTACGGGGAATTTTACCAAAGTATGCAGATGCATTTGCCTGCAGAAAACACTGTTGAAACATTTTGAATGAACGAGGCCTGCCATTATCAGCAATATTTTATATATTATTATTTTGTTTAGCCTGTGCTGTCATCCAAATTTCTTTCTAGCCAACTTTTTCTACTTATTGCTGAATTATTAATATTAGATTACATAAAATATGACACAGCAAATTGCATAATTGAATTAATGCGTGCAAACTTTATTTTTTTTGTACAATACAAACATTTATTAAAATGAGTTGTATTTTATGATACAACTAAACAGCTGAACAATATACCAAGAACAATGTCATAATGCTAAGTGTGCATCCGAATTAAACAAGCAGGATGCCATAAAAAGGTCTTTGACGGCAGCTTGTCTCACGGTGCAAAAGAAACCAAACGACTAAACTGTCTCCTCACCTGGATCAGTCACAAGAAGGCACTTGTTAGTGTCTAGCTGAACTTGGGTGGGGTTTAGCACACCTCGGGCTGTTGGCCTGGTGATGTAAACAATTCTATCAACAGCTCTGCAGAGTTCCCAGAAGATGAAACGGACTGCGTAAATGTAGGTCAGGATCTTTAACTGTGAACGTGCAAGTCATATATTATTTACCAAGTGTGTGTGTGTGTGTGTGTGTGTGTGTGTGTGTCTGTGTGTATATAAGAAAAGAGGCTGTTCGTTCTCTGAGGAAGTAAAATTCACCATGTTTTCTACTGCTTTAAAACAGCAACAGGGCTTCGTCACACAGCGTATAGCCAGGAATTACGCCACAACTTGCCAAGACATTTAATAGCCTAAGGACGAAACGGTTTTCAAAAAGCCAAATTTTAGTATTAATTATACATATATGAACCTCCGAGGCGGTAAGGGGGCTTGATAGGTATTACCATTACCTCAGTCCTCCAGGGCCGGGGGTTTGAGTCCAACCCTCCTTCTCCGTATGTGTAATTTTAATATTATGCCGGTTGTCCGGTCACCCCAAAAAAAAAACACGGTCTTAGCTGATATGGCGGCCGCATTGACGGCAATCGGATGGCCAGCAGACGTGAAGATTTAAGGTCCTGAGAGTACAAATCCAGACCAGATCCAATCCAGATTTTGTTTCATCCAACCAGTTGAGTATAAAGAGTCACAGTCACAGAGTATTCAACTGGTTGGTTGAAACAAAATCTTGGTCTGGATTTGTACTGTCTGGACCTGAAATCTCCACCTCTGATGGTCAGTACTACTGAAAGGAGGTTCTGTGAAAGCGTATAGGGCACGTTTGATCTCCAGTGTTTCACGGTAGAACGACAGGGTACAGTCTTTAGGTAGACAGATCTTGTGTAAAGGCTCAAGTCAAACCGCTAAGTTTCACTTACTATCAAGCCATAACGTCAATAAATTCAACGTAAATTGAGCGTATAGAGCCACGCTATGCGGATCAAAATTAAAATGCGGGTTTCTCTTGTTACAGGTTCATGATTTCATAACCATAAAAATAAATAAATGGTATGGAAATCGACACAAAAGTGACTTCATAAGAGTTGGATTTTTTTAAGTGCTTTACAACGTACAGAGAGCCAGGAAAACAGACGGTATTTCTGGCTAGTCATTAGTTTGGACAGTAGAGGGTAGCATTACTTCAAAATTCATGATTACCCGTCTGCCCGGGCTCCTCCTCCTGGAAAAAAAAAATAGATAAATAAGTAAATTAAAAATTAATAGCCTCTATAACACAAATTCGAAAAGCAAATACAGCCTATTCCGACAACAGACATTCAATTACACCCAAAAACTTCTGAAATGTGCAATCTACTGCAAAATCATTCGCGTGTAATGTTTCAATCCCCCAGACAGCAGGACAAAGGTGGCGGAAACATCTTGTTAAGGAATTTCTACCACAAAAAGACTTTTGTGCCGAAATGTTTGCGGACTGCGTAATCACAATAATAATATTACACTTCGATGTCGTCAATGTCGTGTATATATCAATGCCAGGTGAAGGAAACAAAGGTGTTTTCTGCAGATAAGTATGGGCAATATTTAGGTGCCGGCAGTTTTTTATATGTTGTGTAGGCTGTTTGAGTGGGCGGGGACACCTTTACAGGTTTAAGATATTGCGCTGGCAAACCATCAAAAGACAGATTTCTGCGTTCGTTTTAAAATATTTGCTGAATAAATTATGCGTTTTATTAAACCACTGCCGTGCACGACGCCCGAAGGAAGGCTACGTTTATACAGGTGTGTTACCTGTAGCTTCCCTTGGTAAAGGGGCCGGGTTTAGACGGGCGGCTTTGGACTCTTTCCGGAACAGCACGCCGACCGGTTTATCAATCATATTGATCTCTTTTTTTACGAAACCGAAAATATCAGAAGATAAAGGAAGGTCGAGTGACTTGGCTATGGGCACGGCTCATTGGGAATTCCTGATTCATGGTGTCTATGTGGGCACCAGCGTGACTTTCCTAATAGTCAAGGCTAAAAAAAAAAAAAAAAAAAAAAAAAACAAACAATGCGATAGAGACGTTTGCCATAGCTGCCCACCCCTTCCGATCGCGCTCGGTGCGTCCTTTTTATTGCAGTTTAATAGATTGACGGTCCGGGGTCGGCTTTTGATACGGCGCCGATGCGCTGCCGGAGACGGCGTGCGGGACTCCGGCGGCCGGCCTGCGCTCCTGACGGCTTGCAGTGAACGGCGGCGATGGCCGTGGAGCGACTGGAGATGGGGGACCGGCAACCGGAAAACGGCTTCGTGTCGTGCGAAGCCGCATCCCCGGGGTTTCTGTCCAGCGTCGACAACAAAGTGCTGCCTAATGTCGGCGGATTTGGGAAATACCAGAAACAGCTGGTCGCCCTGACGTGGATCCCGGCTCTGTTCATCGGATTCAGCCAATACTCCGATTATTTTCTTTTAGCCCAGCCGAATAATATCACATGCCTGGATCCGCCTGCCAACGCCAGCAATTTAACTGGGGGTCCTGCGCTATTTGACTCGAACAGCAGCCTGCTTTCACGGCATAGTTTTGCCAATGGCACCCTCCAGGATGACGGCAGTTTTCTGTGTGAGTGCAAGAACCGTGAATATAAGCTGGAAACGGGACTCGAAAAAAATGTGGTCACTAAGGTAAGACCAGCTTTGCAATGTGCGCAGTGACGATCGTGTCCAGCACGAGTTTTTAAACAAACACGATGTAGCGCTATGCATCTGATATAATGTAACATGTAATATTATGCCGCTTTGCGTTAAAGCATCTTCAACTGGGAGTCGCCGCCGCAACCCTGGCAAGAGCATAATCAGCTCGGTATAATGTAATGGGTCGCGTTTCTCCATTTTTCACGTATTGTTTCGTACGCTGTTCAAAATGCTGCGCAATGCTGTATGCATGTCACCCATCTCGAGCACAAAACTAATGTAGGCCACTGTATTGTTTTCATCGCAGTGTGTATTAATGTGTGTCATTTTGGTCTGCACGTACATTCAGATCTCGCTGCCTTTCACAGATTAAAAAAAAAACGCTTAAGCAAAATGTAAAAATGTAACAGGCCGAGCCGCAGCAATGACAGTTAGATGACAGGGTAGGTCATACAGGCAGAGTGTTACCGGCGCTTTAAGATTCCCGCACGGCTGGTGCCGAGGCTATAATTCATTGTGGGGTTTGAATGCTTTGCGATGTTTACCGTGGCAATCGGGGCGTATTGTAACGCTGATTGTCAGTGTATGGCATTTAGGGCTACGGCAGGCTGGGTAAGGTAGGCTGTTTGCTGACCGAGTGACTCAACCTCATTGACAGTCTGTGCGGAAGAAGGCGATCAAAAGAACCGCCTGTATCAAAATGCATCCCCTGAGCACGTTTTAAACCCCTTTACCCACAGCAGAAGTCACACAACACTATTGCAAGCGATTATGCGTTTTAATAATTTAATAAAACAGTACAACACTGGTCTGTCATCTGCAGATTAAATTATACGGCCATTCTATTGATTTCTCCTGGTGTGTTATGAAAATTGCGCAGTAATGTTATAAACAGTGTGTTGATGCGATGTGTGGTGTTTTCCCGCTCATTGGTGGCAATGAAGGTGAAGTACAAGATTAAAGGTTGTTGGTTCTGGGGGTGTTACAGGCCGAACCGACACCGTGGCACGCTTCCTGTGAATAGGAATATCTGAGATCAGGTAGCGCTTGTGGTCTCTGCAGAAAAGCATTTCTTAAAAAGGGGGCGAGCAAAAACGTGTCCTCTTGTAAAAACTTTGCATTTCGTGGTTAAAAATAGTGAAAAAATGGGTTAATCCTTACCATACTTAAAATAGATGGTGAATATCTCATTATGCAGAGTGGAAACCTGGTTTATCCTGTAAGTAAGCTGTAATATGTAACCTTTTAATTTAAATACGTTATTACATCTTTTTAAGTCCACATAGCGTTCAGCTCTATTACTTTTGTTCCCGTCTATGTGACTTGTGTATATCGCCTTGGGTTTATCATTGAATATATGTCCACCTTTAAATATTTCATAGACTTATGCATTTAGGACAAATTTGTGTTGTTTTCCCATCTGAATCTAAGACCTTAATGGGCAGAATCCGGTGTCGCGGTCTTGTGTCTCATTCAGCCTTGCAGTTTTATTGTGTGTTGTAGCAAGCCACATGCACAGTGGGAATCTAGATTAACAGGCCTGATACTCTTATTGGGAACATGCTTGTTTGGGATTCACCCTGCTAAAAGAATCCCATTGTATTTTTTTGCTGAGTAATAAAAACATGTTTGTCTGTGCATTGTCTTTATTATTTTATTATTGTGATCACACTGCTTTACAAAAAAAATCTTGTCTGGAATTTCCCTGTTCTCACGCCGGTCCAGGTATTTTTTTAAAAATGTCGATATGAGTTTTCCCCAAACAGCAGATGGGATGACTTCTGCTCCGATGAATGCGGTCCATTCTGCCTCGCCCCCAATGGCCGCAGATGTGCAGTGCGGCCCCTGGGACTCCTTACATTGTCACACGCTTGTCCTCCTCAGCCGAACGTCTGCAGAAGCGTAAAAGCAAAGGAATCAGCAGATGCCAGACATTCTGACACCTTGAACAGTCTGCTTCTTTTAAGACAACTAGCACAACTTTTTTTTTTTTTTTCTAATTTCAAGACTTCATGTACTTTGAATCCACAATTAATTCTTACTTTGTCGTTGCATAATTTCCTATGACACCCCCAGCAAAGAGTTATTCAATTATGCACACCATTTAATAGTGTTTATGTGCTGAATTTGGCAGGTTTTATTTTCCCCACTGATTCAACTCGAGCCCCCTTATCAGTTTTGTGAAACCCAGTTCAGGGTTGCTGCCAGGCGATCGCAGCTGTGCGGGGGCCCAGTGAACTCTTAGCTTTGTGAATTTGTGAGGTCCTTTTGTGGTGACTGTGCCTGGCTTTGAATCTGGGAACTGATACCACACTAGTGCTTACACGTGGAAACTGCGGCGGGTGCAGGGTAACGCATGACAGCATTGGGCAACACTACTATGTACCACTTGTGACCTCATGGGTACACGTGAGAGAAGAGCTCACCACAGAATCTGCGTCCTTTTGGTCTACCTACCTACCTGACTGTCGGGTGATGGATTATCGTCAGAGGTGGGGAAGTTCAGGTCCAGAAAGTACAAATCCAGACCAAGGTTTTCTTTCAACCAACGCGTTGAGTATTCTGTGACTGTGACTCTTTATAATCAACTGGATGGTTGAAACAAAACCTTGGTCTGGATTTGTACTTTCTTGACCTGAACTTCCCACCTCTGATTACCGTCTAGCTCTTAGCATATGCTAACAAGCTCTGTTATTATTTTATGGTTCTTTTCCACTGCCACCAAGAACCCTGCCATCAAGAGCCATACTCAACTCGTACCGCGAACTGGTGCTTTTCCAGTGCGGAGTATGAGAGCTGTAACAGCACTGTAATGGTACTGCTGCTAGCAGGGCCGAAAGTGTGACCAAAACCAGCTGGTTGCGTCACCACTATCTGATTGGTCAAAATACATGGAGATATCAGTGTTCTGCAAATGGATTATTTGAAGGAAATAGCGTATATTACATATTATTCATTATTAGTAGTATTCCACGTCGCGACGTACCGGAACGTTCCCGATAACTCGGAACTTGAACATTTCCAACCTCCTGCTTAAGAAGTTCTATAGAAGAGCTGAACAGAATGGATTCGTAATGCAAATTTACGCAAAACAAATGGCCATTCTGCTATCGTTTGATACTTGCATGACCCTGGGCTTCTCACAGACGTGCTAGCGGAAATTAGCACACAGTGGAAAAAGAAATAATAATAATAATAATAATAATTGCACCTGGTAAATTTTATGATGCTCACCGTTTGAACAGTAAATGAGTCTCTTCAGTTTTACGTCTCCAAACCTGGCAACGCCTTAAACAAGCCGACCCTTCTGTAGTGGAAAACCGTAGCAAGCCGGAACTGCACTGTAACTGGTGTCTCTTCGCAGTACAGCTCAGTTCCTGTATGCCAGTGGAAAAGCACCATTAGAGAAACGCTTAATTGTTTGAGTGCCGTGTTTATGGTTGCCAGTCCTCAAAGTGGAGCGGTGTAAATTAATTTTCTGGTCCAGTGGTTCCCAAACCCCTTCTTAAGGACTGTAGGCCAATCCCATAAGTTTTGGTTCATCTGCAGACAGTCTGATCAAATAATCAACTGGTCTTCAAGCCCATTATCAGTTAAGTAGTGGGCTCTATGGAATGGATGGAAGGAGATGTTTGGGAGCCATTAATGTGCTCGATCCTTCTTGCTGATCAGCTGCGCTCTGGCTGGGCTGTAATGTGTGATCAGATCGTAGTGTGTTGTTAAGGAAATGGACTCCTGACCTGATGGTTATTAGTTTAAGTCCCAAGGATAAGTCCCTGCTGATGTAACCCTCAGCATTGCAGTTAACTGAACTGTAACGTAGTAAGTGTGCCATAGCATGCTAATTTGACGTAATCAGTTTTAATTCACTATGAGGGTGATTGTTTTATTGTTTCTCTGTGTCATTGAATATGTTATCAGGGCTGTCTGTCTTAGCTGTTTTGAGTTGGGGGGAGGGGGAAACTGATGTCCCCATATGTCTCTGAGGGCAGTGTTTGCGCTTGATTAAACACTGCAATGCACATAGATCCAAAGTCTCACAGTGGTGGTGCTGTCTTATTGTAAAGTCTGATATTCCTCCACCCTGCCCCCAACCCCCCCCCCCCCAAACTGAAACACATGCATACTGATGGACACATGCCTGTACATTGACCAGAAGCCAGACAACGCATAGCAGTGGTTCCTTTCTCCCCTGATTCTGCGTACAGCAGCTGCTGGAGATGGGGGGGGGGGGGCTGCGTGTCTTTGGTCACAGAGGGTCTTGTTTGCATGGAGATTGTGGCGTTAACGTGTAACCCGGCAGCCGAGAGGCGCTTTGGCGTCACATTGGTCAGCGGAACGCAAAAGCTTGCACGATTTAAAAACTTTCTTTGTATCCTCGATAACCTCCCCACCCACCAAGGCTGGTTGCCATACAAGATACAAGATACTTTATTCGTCACATATTGTACATGGTTATTCAAGTACAACACGTAGTGAAATGTAACCTGATCGACCCTTAAGACCGTGTAAATGAAATCAAAAATAGAATGAAGAGTAAGTCAACAGTTAAAAAATCTTACAATAAACTAAAAAGTTACAATAACTAAAAATGTATACATAATATAGAGAAATACAGAAGTATTAATATAGGAAATAATTTTAAGGTAAAAAAACTGTTCATGTGCATATGATGACAGAGCTTTGTATTGTATTCTATTGATGACGGTTGTGGCTCAGAAAACTTGGAAACTTTTACTTAGACTGGGGGATATTTTTAAGGCCATGATAGCTAAGTTGATTGCCTGTTGCTAGGTAATTACATCGTCATGGTTTTGGTATCATTCTTTCCTTCTACCCTGTATCTTTTTTGGTGCCTCTCAGTAGAGGTGAGTCTCCCTGACATGGCCGGGAACTCCGTGGTACAGCCTTCTGGTACATCAGGTGTCTGTTGTTCGGCCCGGATTACCCCTAATGCAATGGGGCGGGCGGCCATGGAGGCCATCCGTAATAGCTCTATGAAGCAGTTGTCAGTTGCTTGTTTTTACATTCGTTCTCCCCTCCAGTGATTTATTTTGTTTGTAATTCATTCCACATTTTGTTCTGGATCGGAATCAGGTCCCAATAGCCAGTTTAATTGCATTCAAGTTGGTTTATGAAATATTTAGATGGGGATTTTGCCCTGGGGGTCCTCGGTGCCTTATAGATAGATAGAGACAGGCAACAACAAGGTTGTAAATTCAAAACCCTTAAGTGACAATGCTGTACCTTCAGGTTGGATTTATTGCTTGCATTCCAATGTACAAATGGGGGGGGGGATATGTTGTCTTTCTGTTGTAGGTGCCCACAGTTTCTGTTAACTGTGCAGTTATGGTCAACAGAAAGCGGAAAATGCCGCAATAATGGTCCCAATATGCTGGTTATTAACGGCATGTATTTTTCCTAACGTGCTTGGCCCTATGCTAAGTCTTTGTTTATAAATGCTGTAGTATTCATGATCATACCAAACATATATGTGTGCTTATTCTCACCATTCATCCAGATATGCACAGTGCAAACAAGTCCCCCCACCCCCCCTTTTTTTCTAAACTCATTGCTTGCTGACAGCGCAGTCTGTGCCATATAAGAAGTGGGATTGTGGTTGTATGTACTGAGATTTGTATTTTCTTATATTTGGATGGTTAAACATATGCAACTTAAATGCTGCAGCTTTTAATCAATTTACAGCTCTTGCGTGGTTTTGAGTTTTATTACCATTTTGATATCTGTGTGTGTTTTGTTTTTGTAATTACTACATTGTGGGGAGCAGATTTCCCCACAATGTGATAAAATGGCTGAGTTAAGGTTGTCATAGTTGGGATTAGGGTTATGCTCATAGAAATGAATGGAAAGTACCCATGAAGATATGAATACTTGGGCTGTGTGTCTGTTTTCCGTGTACTTTGCAGTATTTTCTTTCGACATCACCTGGATTCCCCGTGACTCATAACAAAGTTCACTTTAACGCGAGCCTGGCGTTTTTTTACAACTCCTATAACACTAGGCCTACTAGCACAGCATTGGGAAATGGGATTCGGGCTCAGACAGTAAAGTTAATTTATACCACCACAAAACGTTCAGTTCAGGAACATCTGCTCCTGAGACCTGCATTCATTTCTTGTTTCCTTTTAACGAGCATTCCCGATCAAACTTTTAGCTAAATGTTTGAATGCTTGCTGTTGAGAAGCGCCCCTCCACGAGACTGCAAACATCATGTTACAGCTGGCTGTTTTTTCCCCCCGTTGATAATTAATTATTAAATAGTTACGTTTAATGCCGCGTTATCATTGTTTGATAAGTTCTGAAGAAACACAATCTACCATTCAGGCTATTCGGGCTTTAGTTTATGAAAGACCCAAAGATGGAGTCTTCTCCATTCAGACCTCCTGGCTCTGCCGTGCACTCTGATACTGAGGATCGGCCACAGACCCATGGACAGCAGGCCGTGGCTCTATCTCCCCCCCACCAGTTAGCTCCTACAGAGCCCCCTTGTTTGGACCCCTACTGCGGTGGGAGGGGAGGTGGGGCGTAGAACAAGGTCCTGTGTCTCCATTTGTCCCAGCTGATCTTAACGCTGCCTGACACTTAACCCACATAAATCATACTCAAATACACAAATAAACTGACGTTTTTCTGTCTTGCTTGTACGGCACTTGGGACTAATGGGTGTGCCACATAAATGTAGTTAGTTACACTGTAAATGTAATATAAAATTTTAAGGATGCGGGCGAACTATTAATCAGATCAATGTAATCTTTAATGTGTGCGACACTTATTTAACAAAGCTCTCTTGGCCGTCGTCTTAATGACAGTAACTGCAGAGCAGGTCTGCAGGTCACGTGGCTTTGCCGGAGTGGCTCGCGTGCCCGACTCGCAGGACACGCGCTTTTGCGTGACTCGGCGACGGAGCCCCGACGCCGGGTTCGGTTTCGCAGAAAAACCGGGCAGAAAATTCTGGACAGCGGACCATTAATGCCCTCTGGCTGACGGTGGAAAAGGAAGATCCCTGAGCCATCCGGGAAGGATGTCGTTACGAGCGTCGTGTTTCAGACCCTCCTCAGAGGAACACTCTTCCCGGCCAGCCGTCGCCCTTGCGCCCGCAGACCCCTCGTGCACAAACTGCAGAATAAACAGCCGCTTTGCTGGTCGCCACACAGATTATTCCTTGTGGTTTCGCTCATAAGCTGCTGTACTGTCATACCGTATTAACCTCGTTGTTACATAACCAGTTTGCCCTCCGCCGGCCCCGATCCGCTGTGAAACCCTCTGTCTACAGTCCGTCCTTTATCTGTGTGTATCACGGCACCCTTGTCTTCCGGACACTGACTGGCGTTATTCCCAAAGTCCTGTGTTGTGGGGGAAATTATGGAAGCAAGCATGTTTTCTACATATAATATTTTGAATTTCACATATAATATTTTGAATTTCACATATAATATTTTGAATTTCCCCCTGGAGTCAATTATGCACATCAATTCGTTTCTCTATTAGTACAGATTTGTTGATTGCCGGTTTCTAAGAACTTGGGGAGGGGGGACATTTTAGAATAATACCATTATGAAGGAAATACTGACACCTCAGTCAAACTAACTAACAGGAATGGTTGTGCAGCAATAAGATCCCTTTAAAGACAGTTGCCATTAAAGCAATTAATGTGTCATTTGAAGGAGCAACATGTGAATGTCTGTTGAAGGATGTTTAGATAAACAACCCCTCAAACATCTTAATGTTGCACTTTCTGCTGATTGAATAGTTAGTCTTATTGCGTTGTTTTTTCTTTGTTTTGAATATTTTGTGTAGCTCTTGCTCCAGTCCGACTTGCTCTGGTACCTGAGCATACATTGGAAGATCAGCTCAGCTGTACTCATGTCTCTTTGACTCTTTGGCAACAGATATGTTTGTAATGTGCCATCTGCCTCAGTTGTACATCACTTGAGACAAAAGCTCAATAAAATAAATGTGAATCACGTTAGGATACACAGATCGAGCTTCATTAAGTGTCAATTCCAAAAACTGCTTCAGCCCTGCTTCCTGTGTCTCCTTGCAGTTTGATCTGGTGTGTGATAAGGCACCGGCGGTCCACATCGCTAAGTTCTCCCTGCTGGTGGGATCCATTTTCGGATACTTGGTTATGGGAGTCCTTGCTGATTGGTGAGTCTTTTTTCGATCTAATTTATTTGGCATGACTACAATGGCTACAATGGCTGCATTATGTGTCCTGGCTGCTTCTGATAACAGAGATTGGTGTCTGAGATGATGAAATTGCTCCGGCCCTGGCGAGCCAGGTGTGAGAGTGGGGCGCCGTGCGATTTATGTTCTGCTATCCTCCAGGTTTGGCCGGCACCCTGTCCTTGTCATCTCCGTGCTCTTCATGCTGGTCTTCGGTCTCCCCGTGGCTTTCTCGGTGGACGTGACCATGTTCAGCACTCTCCGGTTCTTCGAGGGATTCTGCCTGGCTGGGATCACTCTCTCCCTCTATGTGCTCAGTAAGTAGCGCCCCCCCCCCCCCCCCAGAGGCTGAAATAGGGGTGGGCGATATGGCAGAAATCGCATATCACGATACTTTTGGTTAAAAGTCTGATCCATGATATAGATCAATATTTTTTTTAATTTTATTTTCAAACCAACCAAATTGGAATGTAGGTTCGTAATGTTAATTGACCGCACTTAACCAGCAATTCTATCCTTACAACATGGCTTGTAGCATTATAATAATATGCTTGATGAAAAATGAAAAATATTGTACATATAAAAGAAACTGACTTATGGGAAAATTGCTTTTTAATTTTTTTCAAAATTCAAAAGTTTTGAAAACAAATTAATATCACTTTGTAAATAATTGAAATTTTGAACTTCGTTTGCAACCAATGCAAACAAATAATAGATAAATTGCTTTCGTTGCCACCTGTTATACGAAGGGTATCTCTGCAGAGTTTCCAAATTATAGTTGATTTTTCAAAATTGTTTTGCAAATCAAAACCATTTCCACACAATAGAAATGGATAATTTTTTAGAACCACTTCTTCCTCATTGGCCATCCTGCACACTCTGGTTTATGACAACATAACCGACTCGTCTATAGCCTGTGTGTTGTTTACCGTGTGACGCGAGTGCGATTTATTTGTTCTTTTTTTTCTTACCGAGCTTTGGTTCAAGATCTAGTCACTAAGTTGAGATCCACTGGGACAGATAATTGACAAAGAACTGAGATACGCATACAGTGCTGACAGGCTGAAATTGCCTGTTTTTGTTATAACACTGTTGCAGCTTCCAAACATGCAGGCGTCGCATGACAAGCGCCTTGCAGGTCTTTACTGTCACTGTAATAAGTGTGAAGTGATACCCATGAACCTGGGCATTCAATGGTAGCTCAGCCTGGCTACATTTATGCCAAACTGACTCCATAACAGCACGTATGTTTATAATGTGTTATTTGCTTCAGCTGTACGATGCTTTGGACATAAACATTCGCTAAACTAAAGTCAATGTGCTGCTGCATCGCAATTCTTGCAATAACTGAAACACTTACAGTGGAACCATTTGCAACCGGCCACAATTAATTATCGTCGTATCGCCCTTCATTACGCTGAAGCATGAACCTTTAGTTCTTTTGTGGGATTGATTTTGCTGATTGTGACCAAAATGTCTGTAATCATGAAACTGCTCTCCAACAGCAGTGTGATATACGCAGGGCAGTTATACATCTGCAAAAGGACCATGCTGGCTTTCTCTCACATGATAAGTTGGGTAGTGTTACTGGCTTGGGTGTGGCCTATCTTTGCCCTGCAGGGATAACTGGGTGGGGAGGGGTCAGAGGGGGGTCCCCCTGCCTGTTTCTGCAGCCTCAACCCGGGGGCATTTAGCAGAAAACACTTGCCGCAGTCCGCATGCTACGGCGATGTTTACATGCGGGTTCATCCAGATAATAGTACTTAGTCACGATCCATGGGCTACTCAGACGAGAGTCGCGCGAGTCGAAGTGAGTGACGTGTTCTTTCAAGGAGGGTGGGCACTGAAATGAACTCTGTGCTGGACTGCTTTTCATGTAGCTTTGTGGGTATTATGTGGTGGGGGGGGGGTCCTCTCTGTATAAGGGCAGATGACACAAGGAAATAGTGTACAGTAAGGTCGAATACATTTGTCGATTTAACACCCTTAAAAAAGCCTTTCTGTCATGTTTAACAGGTTCGTTGACTAACAGTCTCCCAGCGAATAATGATCTTTGCGGAAATGTCTTATGAATGTCACTCGGATAATTGGCCTCACGTCACAGTCACCGGGCAGTTTGAGATTGCACCTTGAAATCCCCCCTGCATCTGCAGTTAATGCTTGGCAGGAAGTTGAGGGCAGCTGGGGGGGGGACGGACCGCGGTGTCCTTGTCATTCTGATTTACTCCGCGCCACCCACCCCTAAAAGCTTTTCTCCACCTTTACGGCGGAAGCGTGATCTCTCCGGCATTCAGGTTGCAGATGGAGCGCTTAACGTTCACGGAACACCTGCATTCTTCCGTCTCCTGGGGCTGACTCACTCCCAGATCGCCCCTCCCACCTCCTAAAAACCGGAACAGGAAGCGCCTGTTTGTGTTACCTTAGAACCGTGGTAGGAGATTCTCCCCGTGGTTGTCAAAGCAGGTCATCCTTTCATGTCAGAACTCGTTACCTGCACTCAGTTTTTCCATGCATGTTGCATCCAGCGGAGGACGAGAAAGACCTGTTCGGTGTCCTTTAACAGCCCTGTCATCTCTGTAGGGCATGGGGATGTGTGTATTCAGACCCCAGTTACTTTGAAGAATGTTTATAGTTAGTTTAGCACGGACCAACTACGTGCTAATTTCAGATAGTAGCACAGAAGTATTCTCTCTTTCTTTTCAGTAGTGTTGTCAGCCGAAACATGATACTGCACCTACCTTAATATTAAGTTAGTTGAATTCCATATTTTTCTCATAGGCTAATATATATTTTAGTGCATTATCAGATATTATTATCCGTAATATTATCCAAAGCAGAAATTCCAAATGGAATTATGGATTATTTACGAATTTGGAATCTGTCTTTTGGATAATACTTTTCTGGCTGTAATTTGTGAAGATTCAGACAGAGACATCTTTAACCAGTAATACGTCGTGAAGACGTCTTGGTGAAATTTGAATAGTAACAACACCGAATAGATTGAATGGTGAGTGTCTCTTTAATAAGAAAAACCTTTTGTCTTGACTTGAATAGCATACCGTTAGTGCATGGTAAACACTCATGGATTAGACATTCATTGGGAAAATGAAGCCAGACCGACTGGTTCGGCCTCTTTCACAGTATCAGGCAAGTTCAGACCTCGGAAACGTCACTCTCTGTTTTATGAGAGCGAGGCCAGGCAGTGCCATTTTCAGCTTCTCAAGGAAACGTCATAAGGGAGCGTTTCGAATAATTTGTCAGCCGACACCGGTGCATTGCGAAGTGTTTAGCGGACAGGCGGGTCACATGGCTGTTTTTGCGGATTCACCCCCTCCGCCGTCCAAGGCTTGGAATTAAAGACGCCAATACTTACTGCTCGGTCACCTCTGGCCTGGATTGGAAGCCAGAGAAGCAGAGGATGCTGGGAAGGGAGGGTCAGCTGCTCTTTCTCTGAGAGCCAGTTGTTGTGCTGGTCAGTTTTACAAGGTCCTTTTTAGGGGGCGTTGTTAATGTTCAACCAAATAATAAATAGTGGTAAGTGTCAGTGTACTGACGGAGGGGGCGAGGTGCACATGCAGAGTACACTTTGATAACGTCTAGTCACGCCGTAAAGGGTTCAACATGAGCTTCTGAACACAAATGGGATACAAAACATTCCCGTGATGAGCGTGTACCTTCTTGCATTTGGGAGGGGTCCCATAATTCATAATACCTGTACTGATCTCATGCATGGCTGGGGCAGCTTAACGCCACCCCCCCAAGACCAAAGTGTACCCGACCTGTGTATCACCATTGAGTCACTCCTGCCTCTGTGTCAGCAAAGCTGAGGGGCAAAGGATTTGGGGGGGGGGGATTGTAAACAAGAGGTGAAAAATCCATCAAACCCTGGAAAGGATTCCACTCCCTTTGCCTCTGGGTTGGGCTCTAAAACCCCGCGCCTCTCCCCAGTCACCTAATATTTAATATCATCACTAATGTGAGCTCATTGTGTTCTGTTGGTGTGTTTCTGAGACATTAGGAACTACCTGTAACACGCAGGTACAAGTTTTGGGGCTGTTGTGGACCCCTGAGGCTGAAATGTGAAAATTAGTCTTAATTCTCATTCACGTCAATGCAGTGTCGCTGTTGGTTGCTTAAAGATGTTTAATATCCATGCGATATTTCTGCTTTCGTAAGCGCGTCCCGTTCTTCTCTGTATCGTTTTTCTCTTATACCGTGAGTCAGGCGTGGAGGCAGCAACTCTGGGAAGCAGATCCAGTCCCTGCCGGTGCGTCAGCCGGCTGATTGGTCCGTGATGACACCCAGACGCTGTATTGTAGCCGGCTGATTGGTCCGTGATGACACCTAGATACTGTATCAGGGTCGGCTGGTGCATCAGGCCTGAGCAAGTCCCAGGATGAGATCAGTTTGATAGGAGATTACGTACTGAAACCCCCCACCTTCATCCCCACCTCAACCATCCCCCAAGCCATAACCAGGCCCCACCCTGATTAGAATTTTCCAGCAAACCTTCTAACCATGTGATTCAAACTGGAATGAGGATGAGTGGAATGTCCTTCCTGGTGCAGTCAGCTGTGCTCCAGAGACCCTATGGGCTTAGCCGAGGCACAGTGACAGCAGACTAGGTACTAGTGCTGTATTATGGTGCTTTTCCACTGGCATATAGGAACCGCGAAGAGACACTAGTTACAGTGCGGTTCCAGCTCTCTGCGCTTTTCCACTGCATTGGTACGGCTCGGTTCTTGGTGGTCGTAGGAGTCTGTAATCATTCAAGGAGCTGGGGCAGTCCCTCTTTGGCATCAAGACTAGGGCTCAGAGAAAGGGTTTGAGATGCAGGAGAACCCCGCAATGGCTGACACGTATGTCTAGGACACCCTGGCCAGTTACAGGCCGTAGCTGGATGATGGGTCCAGGGCAGGTAAAGCAATAGGTATAGGTGTCTTTGTCACCGGTCCAGGTTTCTATTCCTCCTAGATACAGGGATTTAGGAAACTTCGTGAGGCGGAGGAGGGTGAAATGTAATCGAAATCCCCCCTCAATCTAGGAGGGATGCTTGAATTAGCAAAAATGGATGCCGCTTAGAAACAGACAGACTGTTGTGCTGTGAATCGCGCTGACGTGGCGTGCTGACTTCCCAGTCACGCAGGTGACACCCTCTGCTGTGTCACCCCACCTCCCCCCCCCCATCCTCGACACACACACGGCCCTGCAGTAATGACGGCCCCAGCTCACCCCATGTGACTGTGAGGATGCCTCAGCTGTTCACTTCTGTGATGTCAGTGTTTCTGTTTCGCTTACCCCCCCCCCCCCCCCCCCCCCCCAACAAGAATAGTCTGACTTTGACTGAGAGACGCGGCTGTTTGCCTGGACGCTACATTTGCTGCCGTCTGCTTCTGTTATTATGAGAAGACTTACATTGCTTTGTTTCATATATTGTATGATCTTCTACACCTCGGCATCAGGTTTAAAATCAGTGTTCAGAAATGCGACTTTCTGATATGAAATGTGTAAATGAGAATATGGAATATTTACGACAGCCTGCCTGCCGCAGCTCAGGATTTATGACATACAGGGCTGATTAGCTATGAGAATTTGAATATCTGACATTGTGACTCGCAGGCAACAAGAACATGTGACGAGGGAAAATGTCACGGGGTGTGAAAAGGTGCTCACAGGTTCCCCCTGGTGGCCGGAAATAGACTTGCAGTTGTCTGCGTAACGGTGTTGTAAATGCCACTCATATTTCCTGAAATAGAATAAAAGCCTATTGCCCTCTCTCTCTCTCTCTTTTCCGCTTTTTTGTGTCCCCCTCCCCCTACAGGAATCGAGCTTTGCCTCCCCCGCTACCGCTTCTCCGTCACCATGGTGGCCAGTTTCATCGTGCTGGCCGGTCAGCTCCTGATGCCAGGCCTGGCTGCCCTGTGCAAGGAGTGGCAGGCGCTGCAGGTGCTCATCGTCTGCCCCCTCGTCCTCATGCTCTTGTACACCTGGTGAGGAGCCATCTGGTCTGCCCCCGTGTGGCCGGCATGCGCTCGCGCTCGCGTCCAAAAAAAGCCAAACGCGAACGTCGCGAGCGCAAAGCGGCTCGTTTCCTACAACGGGGGTCACACTGTATGCACAGACGGTGCTTAACCTGCGAGGTAAAGCGAGGCGTGTTGGGCAGGATGACTACAGCGTCATCAGCTCGTTCCTGTTTTATCCCACTTCCCGCTGGCTACTCGGTTGGTTCCTGCTGGGATGAACCAGGCCTTGATTGGCCGCGTGTGCAAATCCTGCTTTTGTTGCTGTCTCCGCCTGACCCTTGTGATCTCGTGTGTCACCTCTACGCAGGCTCTTCCAGGAGTCCCTACGGTGGCTCCTGGCCACTAAGCAGTACAGCAAAAGCAAAGGCTTGATGTCCCAGATGGCCAAGAAGAACAAGGTGGAACTGGAGGATCGCTACGTCGATGTCCTGACAGGTCGGTGGGCGACGTTTCCCCACCTGGTCGATGCCCCTTTAAAATGCCCAAATTGCCTCTAGCTTCTTCTATTGAATGTATTATTTATTTAACGGGAACACATGTTGCCATTGATGCGCTGCATGGTAGGCTGGGTTGGTGTCATGGGGGGGGGGGGGGGCTTCGGCGATCTCCTTCAGGGGATTGATCTTCCTGGATGGAGGCCCAGACCCGTCGCGGTTCGAAAGCAGAGACCATTTCGGGTCTGGTCGAGACCATAGGGGCCCAGCAGCGTAAACACACTTTGTTAGCATCTTCTCAAGCGGAAAATGTGTTACTGGTGTCCATTAGACACAGAGCCGCACTGGCAGTCAGGACGCCAGAGAAATGGAAACTTTCGTTATGTTGTCCGTCTTGTGAACCTGCGTTGGATAATCGGTTGCGAGGCCACAAGGTTCAGCTGGATCCGAAACCGCCCCCCCCAAATGATGCCCTTGCATTTGATTACATTGTGCCGCTATTCTTTTTTCTCTTTCCAACCCCCCCCCCCAGCCCCTGCTTTATACATTTCTATTGCACCTGCGGACAGGTCAGTTTGCAGCTGCTTTTGTAACTGAACCCACGCGTAAACACCAAGGCCGCCTGAATTGCAGCTGCCTGTAATGTTGCCCTTGACCTAAAATGTCTCTGTAAAGCACCAGCAGGCTAACGTGAAAGTTCTGTTCCTAAAGGATTCTGGGTAATGGGCTTGGTGGTGCTAAACTCTTGGAATAATCCTTGCTTATCGGGAAATTTAAATGTTTTACAAATATATTTAGCTTTTTATGGATTACTCTTACCCAACATGCAGAGGTATTCAAACCAATCAGGTGTCACATAGTCCAGATATATCTGACTTCAGTAAAGACCTGAATCAATATCTCTAGCTTCTGTTGTTGCATATGCTAGAGCATAATGGGAGTTTTTGTTTCCTTTGCCTGTTTGTTTTTAGAGTTGCACAGGGCTGTTCCGAACAAGCCCCAAAAGACGTGCATCGTCAAGATGGTCGGCACCAGGAACCTGTGGAAGAACATCGTGGTCCTCTGCGTGAATTCGTAAGTGTGTTAGGATGACCAGCACATGCCGTCCCGCTGTGAGAGCACTGGTGTATCGGAACCATACGTATCGATCCACAGACATCATGGAACTGAGCGTGATGTTCACCAACATCGCTGCGTACAACCATCAGAGTCTCAAGATCTTGGCAGTAGGCCTCTGGAGACACGCCCGCCCCTTGATATGGTGGTTCCTGCTTTTCACAGCCCGGGAGGTTTGCCTCTGAGTCATTAAAGGCAGGCCCAAGATCATTATAAATATTTCATGAGCGGGGCAGCGATGGTGATTGTGTACTTACCATAGTCAGAAGCTTAGGCCAGTCTCTGCTCAGTGATTCGAAGGGTAGAGCATGATGGGATATCATCTTGTGTCTCTGATATCTCTTTATGTTCCTGCAACATTCTTATATTACCCTTCTCGTCCTTGAATAGTCTTATTAGGCTCCTGCTCTGTTAGATGTTATTGTTCCTGTGCAGCTCCTGCTCTGATGCTCCTTACACCTGTACCCGGGCATTCCCTGGAAGCTCAGCCTAGTTGCACTCATGCGTAATCGACTCCTTGACAGCATGTATGTTTCCAGTGTGCTGTTTGCCTTGCTTATACGCCGCTCTGGACAAAAGTGCCAATTTGTGAAATATGTGAACGTAAATGTCTCTCCCTCCCTCAGGCTGACGGGCTACGGAATTCATCACTGCTTTGCCCGCAGCATGCGGGACCGAGAGTCCAATGAGATCCCGCTGTTCCAGAATTTCTACGAGGATTATTACACGATGGCTGGCATCGCCACGGCGGCGTGCATCGCTCTGTGCCCAGTGGTGGGCCTGTTGGGTCGCAGGGGGGGTCTACTCATGTTCATGATCATCACTGCCCTGGCGTCCTTGCTGCAGCTGGGCCTGCCCAACTGTGAGTACTGGACATGCAGGGTGGATCCACGCGGACGTTCATCTGCACACTCGCGCTTGTTTAGTCGCAGGGACGTCACGTCGGCTTCCCCTCGCTGTGCAGTATAATTCCCAAATCCTTCACAGCATTTCCGGAAGACAACTGAAAGCTAATAATTCAAACTGCCAAATCTTTATTTGCTAAAAGCGATTTTGTTGTTTCAGACAAAGGAATTTTACCCTGAGGTGGCGTCCCAAAGGACTCTCCAAATAGCATTATTTAGCAATATTTGTCCTCAAAACGGGCAGGAATAATACACACTACCACAGGCAGAGGTTATTCACCAATTTTTTTTTTTTAGAACCAAGCACATCTGACATACAGGTAGACAATCCACCACATGTGCGGGGCATTTCAGTCAGGTGGGGAGGTTCACATTTACACGCACAGACACACACGTACCACTCAAAGACACATGTTGATAAATATGAGGTAACACTTTACTTGAAGCAGTCTACATAAGGGTGACATGTATTATGACTGTTGTCACAAACACCACTGTTGTCATAATGTGTCATTTGGTTTTTGGAACTGAATGACACATTATGACAACAGTCATTAACATCAATAATGCGTCATTAATGTGCATGACATGTGTCATGTCATTCTTAAGACGGTTACATGTCACCCTTATGTAGACTGCTTCAAGTAAAGTGTTGCCAAATATGGTTATATGGCATGCAGTCATTTATATAAATGAAGACTTGTCTTGTTATACTAGTGCATTAAGTGTATGATATGTAAAGTCATGAATATGCTTTCACTCTCTTTGCAAAACATCTGCACAGAAATATCTGCATAAGCACTAATTTTGACAGTTTTTTCCCTTTTTTTTTCCTGGCAACCTGGACAGTGCTTGGGAAATACAGCGACCACCTAAAAATAGGTACAGTATGTGTCTTTTCCTCATATCTCCAGTGACTGCCTTCCTATTGGCTACCTGATAATGACCTCACCCGTCCAGTAGCGAGTGTGGGGGTCCCCTCTCACCAGCTAGGTCTCACCTTTCGAAAACCCCTTGGGAGGAGAATAGTAAAAATTTTAAACTCGTCAGCGCTGGGGGTGTTAAAGCTGGCAGGCTGCTTGGACCGAGATCCGGCGTGATGATCTGCTTGAATTGGTTCTGGTTTGAAATCAGTCTTAACAGGTTCTGCGAGTCGATAGCTATAGGGGACCAAAAAAAAAAGTATCCATGCACGGGTCAGTCGGGCAGCCAGGCCCTAAACCTGGTTCGAACCCTGGACCCAGAAGCTGCAGCTTAGGGTTGGCCTTGACCTCCAGTTTTCTCTTCCCAGCTTGCAGTGCTCTAGTCATTATTAACGTGGCTTGTTACGCTCCAGCTCTCTGATTGTTCCATGGAGCAAAAAGGTTGATATTCCCCCCTCCCCCGGTGAAAACCATCGTCATGATCCGTGGTGCCCTTCATGGCAGCCACTGTCCTTACGCGAGGGCCAGTCCTCCGGGGCGGCTTGTCCGCAGGCTTCCTGCCCGCCTCTTGATCAGGCCATTTCTTCTCCTCTCTCCTCTTCTTCTGTCCAACGCCAGTGAAGCAGAACTTCCATTCTAGGGGGCTGGATATGCTCTACCCACATTGAGAGAGCGCTTGTGGTATTTACGGCATTTTGAATCCCCCCCCCCCCGACCAACAGTACTACTTTTCGGAAGTGCACCCCCTGGTGGTACCAGCAGATTGCACACTACAGGAGACCACATAAACTGCATATGTGGGAAGAGCAGTTTCAATGTGTTACGTAAGACGGAGAAGAGCTTTTTGGCTATGTAATAATGTATATTTCTAATGTGGTTATGCCGCATTTTAAATACAGTGCAGAGTTGCGTAATTGAGTCAGTGTTGTACAGGGTTACTGCTTTCGACCGTTAGATCCTTTTTAAGTGCATCTGTTTTTAATGTCGGATCTTATTGTTGTAACTGCTGACAGTTTTAAATGTGTTTCCTGCAGAGCGGTCGGACACCCTGAACAGGAACTTCTCCATCGCCTTCTCCGTCATCGGCATGTTCTCCTCCCACGCCGTCAGCAACCTCAGCATCTTCTTCTGTGCCGAGGTCACGCCAACAGCCATCAGGTAAGCCTGTTGGTGTGGGGACAGAGGCTAACTGGCTCTGGTCTGTCCCTGGTCTGGCTCTGGTTTGTCCCCGGGCTGTTCCTGGTCTGGCTCTGGTTTGTCCCCGGGCTGTTCCTGGTCTGGCTCTGGTTTGGCCCTGGTCTGGCCCTGGCGTCTAATTGGGGCCTGACCTGGGGCTGGTCCAGCCCTCTGCCAGCTCTGCCTGTGTATTGCTTGCCTTGTCACAGCGGCTGTTCCCGTGCACAGGGGCGGTGGCCTTGGCCTGGTCCTGGCCAGTGCCGGCTTCGGCATGCTGACGGCGCCCATCATGGAGCTGCACAACCAGAAGGGCTACTTCCTGCACCACATCATCTTCGCCTGCTGCACCCTCATCTGCATCATCTGCATCCTGCTGCTGCCGGAGACGCGCAAGCAGCCGCTGCCCGAGGCCATCGCCGATGGGGAGAACTATGCCCGGCAGCCCCTGCTCCCTCCCAGGAGAGCTGGGGAGCAGCGCCACCTCCTGTCCCGCTCCCAATCCAGGGAGTACACCCCCCTCCAACAGATGAAGACCCCTGCCGCCCCCGGGCCGACCTCTGCTGATGACTTCGCTGAGGATACCGACACTCCCCCCCCCACGGACTCTGCTGCGGCCCTGGCCGTGAACTCCACCGGGCCCTCTGCCACAGACCCCCCCGCCACTGACTCCGCTGCTCCCCTGGATACGCTGGACTTCCCTGCCCCCCCCACCACAGACCCCCCCGCCACAGACCCCCCCACCACAGACCCTACCACTGACCTCGTCATAGCGTCCACAGAGTGTTCTTCCCCCTTGGCCACAGACGCCGTCCCCCCTACCACAGACTCTGCCTCCTGTCTTGCCACGGAGTCCCCCGCCACCCCTACCAGAGGCCCAATTCAACCCCCTCCCACAGATTTCACTGCCCCTGTGCTAGCAGACGCTACTCTTACCCCCAAAACCGATTTGCTTCTGTCCATTGCAGACACAAAGACCGCTCCTGCTACAGAATCCATCAGCCCCAGTGATACAACTTCCTGTCCCATGGCAGATCTCGTAATGTCCCCTAATGTGCGCCCCCCAAGTCCCCTCCCTCCCTCAGACTGTGTTGCCCCCCCAGCTAATGGTGCTGGTCCTTCTTCCCCTGCCAAAGATTCTCCTGATCCCCTCGTCTCAGACTCTATTGCCCTTTCCATCAAGGACCCTGCCACTTGCTCCCCTGCCAAAGAATCTATTACGTACCCCGACAATGACTCTCCTTCTACCCCCCCAGGTAATAACTCTTCTCCCGGGCCCTATGCCACAGGCTGTACTGTAGCCCCAGCGATAGACATCATTTCCCCCAGCATTATGGACTCCACTGAACCCCCTGTCAAGGACATCGCTACCAAAGAGACTAGCACTGCCAATGGAGTGAGGTCATCGTGATGAAACGCCCCACCCCCTGCGGGGCGGGGGGGGACAGGGGACGTCCTTTGCCGCTGGGATGCTTCAGAGCTGCCGACGACCCGTGTCACATGACAGAGAGTGAGGTATCCATCAGAATGGTAGGGCGGGGTCTAAGTAATAAAGAAATTATAATTAAAGGAATCTTCCTACACATTGTCGGAGAGAGGAAGAGCAGGGAATGGATGAAAGGAAGGATTGAATTTGGATCATAGTGCCATGAAATACTTTCACATCCGCTCTGAATTTCCACTGCTCCTCTCTTTCTAGTTATTCCGATTATCGAATGTAGTTCAGAAACCTGTGAGCTTAGGGTTGGCCTTGACCTCCAGTTTTCTCTTTTGCACTGACCAATGGCAGGCCGCAATCCCGCACTTACAGCCTCACCTGAAACCAGCTGATAGGCTGGCGGACTTCCCCACTGTTTAATGCCGATGAATTTCTATTCCTATAAAATTCCCACGATTCTCTGCTGCTTCATGGTTTTTCCACTGCTTAAAAAAAATAAAATAAAAAAGGCAGTAATTGTGATGTAAGGTTTGAACGTAAAAGTTCATCAATTAAAAATGAAATGGAAATTCAGTTGTGGGCCAGAGACTAAATATGGCAGGCATTATGGTCATTGTTATGTTTAATTTGTATAATTGAAGTAAGACTTAAACTAACAGTTACACCCAGACAAATTAATATGATGGTTTGTTCATTAGAGGAACAAAAAAATAAAACTGACGTGCCAAACATCAACATGCCTCACAGCTGGAAGGACACCTGTTTGCCTGGTTTAGGTCTGGGAAGTTGAAGGTCTTTTGTAGCTGAGCCTTGCCTGAATATACTAAGATGTTCTCCCAGAATTCCTTTACCAGCCAAGCAGACGGCTGACCAACCAGAGCCCTCGGAGGTCTCTGGATTTTACAGATTATTGTTTTTATTAGTGCCACAAGATATCCTGTACACATAATTATTTAGTTATTAAAAAGAGCGTGAGTAATTGCCAATTTGCCCCATGGCCTTTGGGGGTTCATACTCCCGGTGTCCGCACACCCCAGGGTTACACCCGACTCCTCAGTAGTGTCACGAACCTTTTCATGGAGCAATGAGATGAATTACGTCGTAGCTGAGCTCGCCATCTTAAGGCATGTCTCTCGCAGGGGCCTCACTGTTCCAACGTCACTCCGGGTCCGTGCTGAATGGTATTTCAGCTCCTTGTGGTAAAAGCAGACAAACCCTACACCCGGGAAACGTCATCATTTGAGCATCATTGTTGTTTTTGGATGAACGAAATCAAACTAAGAAAACTGGAGCATTGAGCTCTTGAGACCCACTGGTCTCACCATGTCCTGAGGTGCGTAATGAGCCCTGTTCGTAAAGAATGATCATACATGCATCCAAAGACCTTCAGCGAGGAGGAATATTGGGCCCCTGTCATTTGGTGATGTGTTTCCTGTGCTCTTTGTGGTAGAGGATGTGTGAGTACCATTGTGTTCGTTGCGCCGCCTGACCAGGCCATGGTGCCCAGTCCTGTTCAGTGAAACTGTACACCTGTGATTTATGTGAAGCTACAACTTCCTCCCTACTCGCTAGCCGCTTATTGACAAAACCGGCCAATTAACTCGCGAGAGATTTCTGTGGCCTTTGTGAGTGTGGCCCCTCAAAAGCTCTCCGACAACGGGATTGATTTCCGTGGATTTCACGGCTTCATTCAGAGAGCGGTTTTGCCAGCTTGTATGTTCCAGGCCAAAAAAAAAAAACCTGTTTTTGAAGAAATGGGCACATTCATTAAAGTGGTACAGCTGTGTCCTGGATTTTCACACTATTTGTTTGCTACTTGTAGTTAGCGTGTAAAATACTTGATGTTGAATATTGTGCAGTTAGTGTTGCTAAGATGTGAAGCTATCAGGCGAGCAAACAAACTCGTCGCCATAACAAACCCTGACCTCTTCGTCACATGACGTTGTCAGCGAATCAGATCTCATAGTTGAAATGTACAAAAAAACAACAGGCTGAATTTTGGTGAATGTTGCTGTGAACACCTAATGTTTTTATGCTTACCAGGCAGATTTGTTGTTTGCACGCAAATTGTTTTTAGATGTACTTGGGGAGAGCTTTTGTTGGTTTTAATAATACTTAAAGCTTTTGAATGCATTTAATAATCATTTTAATATATTAACAACATAATAGTTGAACCAGTTCTAACCAGTCTTAAGTAAGATCATGTCATCTTTAGATCAATGCAATCTTGGATTACCCCTCTGCTGAATCATCTTTTGTGTTTCCTTTTAAATACTTACTGGGCACTGGCTGTCCTTCTGAAACATTCAGAAATTTGCCCCAAGGACAAAGGAGCTTTTGTTCGTAACATGTGTGAGGTTATTTTGGGTGAGATGAAACTGTGGGTGTGTGTGTATGCATGTGATCTGTAATGAGAAACTGTCGATTTAGGGTTGACTCAGTGACTCAGAAAAAAAAAACAAAAAAAAAATGACTGGGAACAACCTGAGCTGTATCCGCGAAGCTATTAAACCACATGGTACACACCAAAGTAATTCCTGTGGCTATTTCTGATTGTGTCCAGAAGAAGCATCATTTGTTTGTGTCGCTTTGGTGCCACTTAGGATGTTAGGGAGGAATACGGCTTCTTTAAGATGCAAGTGGCATTTAATGGATTTACCATTTTTGACATTGGAATTCTGTCTTTGCTCGTTTCCTTGACAACACTGCGATGCCAGTTGGATTCTAGGTGTGTCCCTGACATGGTCCTAATGGCAGTTAAAATTTAATAATACGATTGGATGTGCCAAATATTTTTTGGTGGAGTGCCTCTTTGGTGATTTAATCAGTTTGCGAATTAAAAAAAAAACATAAATGTGGTATTGGAAGTTGATAGGTTATGTTATATGAATAACTTTAAGATAATCTAAAATGCTTTGATGTAGCAGTTTCAAATTGACCCATGTATGTTCTATGAAACACTGTTACTGTATTTATTTTTTGTGAGGCACTTTATCCTCAAATGTACAGGATCAGTTATGAATAACATACATTAAGTACAAATAGACTGATTATATTTTAACTTTTAGAATGTTTCAAAAATAATAATTGCAGCTATTATTGCTAATCACAGCCGAGAACTTGCGGCATAAAAGACTAATATTTTTGTGCATTCAGCAATACATGAATCTGTTGGTTTTTGATGAATAAGCAACAGATATGCATCTAATTTAGAATAAAGTACGGTAATTATTTCCTAATTTAGTATTTTGAGGATTATAAAGGTCAGTTCATTTGTGGTAAACAGAGGTTGCATGCTTTAAAGAACGGTAACACTTGTAAATAGATGTGTAGTAGTAATTTATAGATAAGCCTTTACATCCTCATCAGGGTTATGTCAACACGCAGTACTGTAATCACTATGACTGTCGAAACATTACAGTACGCTGTGGTGTGCTGTGCAGTATTTTCCGTTATGTTTACTGGATGACTTTGAAACCGTAAGCTCTGTTTTAGATGTTTTTTTAAGACCTTTTATGTTTCATTTCTCTCTGTAAATTAAAACGTCGTTTTGATGTCTGGCTATTATGTCGTGAGTCAGGCAGATCCCGCTCCCTCCACACGCATACTTTTCTGGACAATGAATGAGTCAGGAGCTGTAGTATTTCTGTTATTGGGAAACATGAATTTGTGAAGGAGAAATGGCGATTTGTCCATATGTCTGAAAGCACAATGCTTAGATGTGAATCGGTCTGTTCCTTTCTCTGTGTTGATTAAAAAAACCTTCTCTAAGGTGCTTTTTCAACTGAATGCAGCCTCTGCCCCTAGACACAGCAAAACAAGATTTTATCGTGGTAAAACATTAAAAAACAGTTCCAAGAAAAAAAAACACTGAAAAGCCATCCTGTCGGATTGTTCCTATGGCAGTAAATAGCACAGCAATCACTGTAAATACAGTGAAATGTGAAACATCAATGAATGTAAACCACTATTATTTTTAATACCAGTAATCCACTTGTACATACACCATAAATGTCATTCTAATAAAGTCTTTATCAATCACTAATTTTGAAGTTACTTTCAGCCTGTAAATAACTCATTACAATTATTTAATGTTGTAATTTATGTCATAAAATACTCAATAAAAATGTGGCGATTTTCATGTTCACATCTGTGATTAAATGTATGATCATTAAAATAAAAAAAAGAATCAATTGATGGCATAGTCAGCTGTGGAAGATTATTCTCTCAGCATTGCGCACTTCAAAGCAAGTTTGTATGCCCGGAGCGACCTTTAAATCTCGCCAGATACGTACTGTGCTGTATGTCCTGCTTAAAGCTCTACAGTGTCCCCAAGTGGAAAGTTGAAAAACTACAACATGTTGAGTTCCAGCATTAAATGTAGCTGTCCAATGCTGGACCTACTGGCTGACTCATATTGCCAGATATCTTAAGTACAAAAAATGGGTTTATGAGAAAAGTACAAATGGTGGTGGTAGTAATAATAATATTTATTATTAATATTGTCAGAGGGGGATAGTTCAGGTCCAGAAAGTAAAAATCTAGACCTGACTCTTTATATTCCACCAACTCCACTCATTGTTTAAAACAAAATCTTGATCTAGATTCTTACTATCTGGACCACAGTCGGATCTAGAAGTGGGCAGGGATGGGTAATACCCACTCAAATTTCTGCTCTGCCACCCAATTGGTCAACTTTAGCTTGCGCTATCTGAATCTGCCAATCACGTTTATTTCATTCGTCCCATCAGATTTTCTTCGGCGGGGCTTTTGTAGTCGCCTGTGAAAGTTAAAGCTCCTTCTTGTTAAAATGTATCTTTACTGCTGTAGTTTTCTGCTGTGTTGAATAAGTAATTTTGTTAGCAATCATTTAGTTAACTCTTAGATAGTTAGTTAGCTAGCTAACATTACTGTTGGCTAGGAAGCTCACTAGAACAGTACAGTGGAACCCCCGTATCCACCAATTTGGTAATCATGGTGTCAGTGTAATTTATAAATGAAACTTTATCTTAGGTATAAGTACACAAAAAACATGTGATGTTTAGTGTTCGCTACTATCCAGGCTTTCGGATCTCCGCGGTAGGTCATGGAGAGCATCCCATGCTGATACGGGTCCAATACTGCATTTAACATGACAGTTTGCTAACATTCATATCAGCGCCCGGTTGCCATGTTTGGTCAGCTGGCTGGAGTAAGGTGTTCAATTCGAGACAAGTCTGCACACACATTTAATCTATATAAGAGTTTTATTACCTTAATAAATAATAATAAATAATAGTCTGTAGGTTTTACAAACTACCCCAAAGCTTCTGATGTAGCTGATTTTACCATAAGATTTCTCACGTGAGAACCTGAAAGCGTGAGTTAGTGAGCTGGCAACCCTGTCAGCACTCAGTATAAATCAAGTTACCTGATTACATAGATTTCATACTATAAGTCACTTAAATTAGTCATACACAACTGTAAACAACACACAGCAATTTTGGTTCCCAAACCAAAGCTTGCTACCAGTAATTCAGTTACAGCTGCTCTTAGCTTGAATATCCAAGCTTTGGGGCCGGTGCCTTCGAACCAAGCGGGCCGCTACTGCGGGCGGTTCGAGCAGTAATGTTACACCTTCCCTGGCCACCTCGCACCAGCGCAGTGCAGGTCGCGTCCACCTTTGTTTGCTAAGGCAGTTTGTTTATGGTTTGGTAATTACCTTTTAATGCCTTTTCTCTTTGAGGAACATCCTCCCACTATATATTATAAGTAGTATCTATGTTTATGTTAAGTTTATATTTGGTTAGCAGACAATTCTGTCCAAAGCACCATACAGAAATCACATAATAATAATAATAATCATAATAATAATAATAACGTGTCTTTCCTGATTAGATAGATGAATATGAGAGCATAATGTAGAGTTCATAGGTAGTTCAAACATAAAACATGAATATGCCCATGTGCCCCGCCTATTTCTCTGGTTACACGCCGCTACTGCACCCATCGTGTGAAATGCTCCCCCAAGTCTGAACAGTCCAGATCTGGGCCTGATCTGGACCTTTATTTATTGATTGTTTTATTTACCTGGAGGCTAGCAAAGGCATCCTGAAGTAACGGGGGACACTGACTGGCCGTACAGCTTTGATTTGCAATCTGCTGATGGGTAGACAGGTTTACCCAAAGTGATGTCCAGTTGTATTCAGTTGTAAAACTAATTTAACTGCAAAAATTCAGGTTAAACACCTTTTAATGAGCTGCCTTTACCGTCAAAGTCCTTAACCACTGTACTATATGTTGTGGAAGGTTATGGGCAGCTCAATGGGAGGTGACACTGATTCAGACCTCCTTGGTCAGGGGTTTGAATCCCAGCCCTACTCCGAATATCAGAGGTGGAGATTTCAGGTCCAGAGAGTACAAATCCAGACCAGGATTTTGTTTCAACCAACCAGTTGAGTTGTCTGTGACTGTGACTCTTTATACTCAACTGGTTGATTGAAACAAAATCCTGGTCTGGATTTGTACTCTCTGGACCTGAAATCTCCACCTCTGCCGAATATGTAGAGGCTGCTTGGTCTTCACACAGTCCAAGGTCATGTAGTTAGTTGATAGTGACACTAATTTTCCCATTGTGAGTAGGTCCTGCAATGGATTGGCATCTTATCCAGGGTGTACTGCTGCCTAATGCCAGCAATTCACAAGCGAGTCCTTGGGGACCCCCAGACAGCCCATGTTTTTGCAGATAGGGACTGTCTGGCAGGGAGCTGGGAGGGAGCGAAAACGTGGACTGCTGGGGGTCGCTGAGGACCGGATTGGGAAACACTGCATTATGCTGGACGATCCCCTTGATAGATTGTCGACCGCCCACAATGCTGTACTGGAGAAGTGGCTGGAATTGATTCCGGTGGAAGGTTCTGAGCAGAAGATCTGGGTCAGCTCAGTGATAACCTGCACAAATCCCGCACGTTCACCTGTGCTTCATGCTGGACTTCTCTCCACTCACCACCAGGGGGAGTTAGGAGCATAGTGCACACAAGCTAAGAAGAAAATGGCAGCCCACAGACCATGCTTAAAGGTCTTCGTAGAGGTGGAAACAATGCAAGAGAAACCACAATATTACGACAAGCAAAGAAGAATTGATCAATGATGCAGTTAATAAAAACATTAACAAAATTAAAATGGCAGCAGTCCAAGGTTTAGAAACATATATTTATTCTGCAAATTTGGTGATAATTTCAACTTTACAAAAGGAAAATACAGATAATTGCAAGGGCTTGTAAACGTATGTTTTGATCTCACACTGACAGCTGTTCTTCTGAACTGTGTATTACGTATACCATTCCATTATAACCTATATTCCGAAATGTCCACCTGCGTCAGAAACGGAATCGTGCAGAATGATTAACACAACTGAATCTATATTTAACAATTAATGGCGTGATTGAAAACGACTAATGACTAAAGAAGATTTTTTAAAAATGAAGGTACAAAAAGAGTAGTTACATTCTCACAAGAAAAGTTTTATGGTTTGAATAAATTTATCTAGTACATTTTTGAATACCAAAAAGCTACTTTTTTGTTCTCCTGTAGCCGTATATCAAAATCTAGTAAGCTGATTTGCAAACCATTCAAGAGAGAATATTATTTATATAATTAAAAAACATTATTACTGAAATTGCTGGGCTTTTCCTGGGTTTGGCTAAAATAATAATTGTAATAATAGTCTTTAGTCTTTACAATAATGCTACAAACGAACAGAAAAAACGTGACCATATCATAGCATATTTCTTAAGGTCCTGGAGTCTGATGATTGAAGGTAACTGTTATAAACATGAGCATGCGGCACAGTCCACCGTGAAACCCTCTCTCTCACACAAACACACGCTGACCCGGTCGTATTCAGTTCTAAACATTTATTATGGCATTTTAACCTTCCAAATTAGCAAAACACATATATTACAACAGCACACCACAGATGGCTTCCAGGAATGTAAGTGGGTGTGGCCAAGCTTGGGGGCGTGGCTCAGGATTTGAACCCTATGGGAATTCAACCCATAGGACATAGCAAGTACAGCAGCATTAGAGCAACAGAGCCAAAATAGAGCAACAGTACACTTATGGTTGTGTTTTCTCAGCAGACAGCATATGATCCAATCCAGGATCCAAGAGAACTGAGCCTTGAGGAAAGAGTTGCTGGGATTAAGGAGACTGGGGAGACCGGCAGATCTCCAGAAGTTTGTGAAGAAGTTCTGCTTTGACCACACCCTGGAGAGCCCGGCATAGCTTGCCCATTGTACATCCCACATAGCCCTCTTTCATCTTCCAGCGCCCCAGAGCCTGGTAAACCATCTCGTTCAGCCCTTCGCGGACATAGTCATGCTCGATGGTCTCCACCTCCACGTCGGTGAGGCCGAGCCGCCGGACGCACTGCCTCCAGTTGATCCCGATGTTCTGCCGCAGCATTTCTAGATGCTCCTCCGTCACAGGGCGGTCCTCTAAGTGGAAAGAGCCAGATCACTGTCAAGGAGCCAAATCGCCGGGCAGTCGACGTTGGCCAACATCAACTTCACCAGCGCGCCGAATTACACGGGAGCCACGATAACAAATTATAAATGAACAAAAACACAATGTGACGCACCAAACTTCAGGAGAAGCTCCTGATACATGGAATTGCTTCCATTGGACGGAAGGCTGGGCAGACTGAAGTCTTGACATCCAATAAAAAGACGGTTGTTGTCACCAATTTGGACCCCCTTCGCATTACTTAGGAACACTATTTAAAAGCATAAACAAAAGTAGGTTATTGCAATGCCAGTCCATCCATACACCTTCCCACCAGTACCGAGTCTTTGTGAGCTCTGCAAACCCAGCAGGGACACCCTGGATGCCGGCCTATCACAGGGCACACACTCACAGACTATTGGTACTTTACAGACGCCAATTTGTTTCAGGAACTATAGGAGACAAAGAGTACCTAGAGGAAACCCATACTCATGCAGAAAAGGCAAGACAGACTGAGCAGGCCTACAAAAGACAACTACTGAGTCACCCGGAGATTTAAGTATTACTGAATCAATTAAGACTGATTTGTTTGTTATTATGTTATTAACGTATATTAAAGCTGTTAAGGTATGTTAGGATGTTAAGGTATACTTACATGCTGCTTATAAAAGTCCTATGAATGCATTATAAATGCATTATGAAGGTGCACTCAATGTTCTATGAATAATTAATGAATGCATTATGGAGGTGCAGTAACAAAGTGTTACCCAAAAATTGTATTATTTCGTAAGCAGCAGTGAGGGGGGGGCGTGAGCGAGTACCGATACGCAACATCATACCTGATTTGTATCCCGTGGACGAGTCTGGACTTTCAGATTCTGGGATTGGTATCGAATGGAGCTGGGCCTGCTCATGCTGTGGTGCATACTGGTACAGAGGGCTCCAGTCAGGGGAGCCCATGGGAGGGGCCACCACACTGGGACTGGGTGTTGACTGATTGCTGAATGAGGAGAAGTTCTCCACGGTTCCCCCAGAATGTGGGTCATTCTTGGTCCATGACTGCACAGTGGACACATGCAGTGGGGGCCGTGCTCGCCACGGAACCTCCCTCCGGTCCTCCCTGCCAATCTCAACAGACGGCCGAGGAGGTCCTGCGTCGGGCCGGTCGGGGTAGTTATAGCTGCCGTGCTTGTGGTAGTTAAACTCCTGTTCCAGCTTAACCTCCAGGTTGCTAACGGGCATGGCATCGCCCTGGTAGAGCTGCTCAGCGTTGGCGATGGCGTGAAGGTCCTCGATGCTGGCCTCCACGGGCATGTCGGAGCTCTTCAGGGAGGTGGGACAGTCTGTCAAGAGGCACAGACGCCAAGGGAAGTCAAAGCAAAATGCCGAATGAAGACGAGAATTCAAGGAACGCATTATGCAACCGTTCTTTCAATTCAGCACGTTGTCATAAAGAACAGGTCCTGAGAGAAAACCATGATTGCAGTGACTGCAGACTTTCACTTCTCAGTTTTCAGTAGACCTAAAGCCATCTGTCTGGAGTCTGAACATTTTTTTTATTCAGATAATGGCAAACTGTGACAGACACAACATTTTGTTGGCTTTTCAGTAAATGGCACGTTAACCAATCGTGATGGGTGTCTTTTTAAAAATCACTTTCACAAAAAAAAATAAAAAAATCGGTGTGGCTGGCCATCATTAGGAGACATTGTGTTAATCTGCATGATGGACTGTGCTACTTTGGGGGGAGGGGGAGGGGGAGGCGGGGGGGCTTTAAACAGCACTGTACTCACCTCCCTGCAGATTAAAAGAGTCCAGAGACAGGGATTTCATCTTCTCCAGGAAATCCTCTGGACCTTTATACTTTGCCTGTTAGTTGATTAAGTGACAGTGAGCAATATACGGGAGTCTTGTGCAAGAACACAAGTCACGTGACCGAATCCACAGAGGAGTAGGTAAAGAAAACGGCAATGACTGTGTATATGGTGGGTCGCGACACGGTTAGTCTGGTTGGGACTAAACACAAGATGCCACTGAAATGGAATTGTTAGTGTAATACAACAAGGTTTGTACTTTGCCATATGTGACACATGCGTAGATAACTGTAAAAATACAATTCAAATACCCTATTTCACACCCTAACTGTTCTGCATGGACAGGACATCATTCTCTCTTTTAAGATGTTTTATAATGGTGAAATTACCCCACACATACTTGAATAATTCAACTAAACAAGGATACTCGCATTATTTGATCATATTTTTAAACTCTGTCGCAATTTCAACATGTCTCGGAACATTTTTAAGTTAGCTTCACAAAATCTGATCTACCACTGTTTCAGATATGAACAATCACAGGGAATTAAAAAAAATGAATTTCAGTGGCGTGTCCGTGATACATACCATAAGCTGTGGTATATCTTTTTCCACGTTTTTCTCTAAGCCATTCTTGTAAAATTTTTGAAATGACTCATAGCTTTCTGTAGAGAGAGAAGGAGAATAATGGGGCTATTGAGGTCAGATGGGCTGCGTTCCCCAGCCCATGCGATATGAGTGGACTTTCTATGCTTCAGGAATTTCCAGAAAAGGGTGCAAGAAACAATGTACATGTGAATGGTAAAGGCTGGTTCATACTTCTGCACACAAGCGCAAGACTCGTGTATCCACTCCGCGTATGCATACACGGAAACGTTCATACTTCTCTGGTCAAGCCGTTAAATTATATTTTAATGAATAATATTAATATAAATGATTATTCTGATATTCCTTGCACGCGTGCCACAGCAAAGGGATGTCGAATTTATCAGCTGGCCGGTGTGAGATTTTCAATAAGGCAAGTCTGCAGTCACATACACACGCATTTACATGTATGTAACTGCTTTATCACCTTGTAAATAGTCTGTAGGGTTTGCAAACTAACCCAACGCTTATCAAAAGCTTCCATGTTGGTACTTAAAGTGGACACTAGCGAATCGGTCATTAAAATTAACAAATTAACCCATATGGGGCATACGAGCATATAACAGCAGGGTTGGGGCTGTTCCAGAATGCATTGATTAATTCCAATCCAAATCAGGACATGGAACTGGAGTTGCGATTGGAAAAAAGGCCATGGGGAACACAACTGGAATTGAATTTGAATTTCAGGGAGATTTAAATTCCAACTCCAGCTCCATTTTCTGATTTGGATTGGAATTGATGAATGCATTCCCGGAATGGCCCCAACCCTGTCTGACACTGTCAACGTTGACTGGAAGCTCTTTCATTAAGTTTGACGATGTTCTACGTGTTGTAGCAGACACCCCGAAGTCCCACATCAAGCACGCAAAAACACGGACGCCAATGCAAACTGCGGAGACCTGTAAACGTTGGACGCTGCTCCGGGTTCTGCTGCCAGCAGTTCTTCATCAGCGTCACCATCTCAGCCGGAGTGGATTGTGGAATGAGATTCTCGTCGGGGCGGTTCCCCAAACGGACGCACGCACATACCTGGTCTTCGTTTAGGGCATCTAGAGGGAGCAGAAGAAATATTTAGAAATGCATCTCAGGCATTACAAACACCAAAATGACCCATAACGACAGTGAAAACATTTCCACGGAGACTGAGCTAATTGCGTTGAACTGGATGAAGAGGCTCTTACATGCAATATTTGTGCCAGAGCAAGAACTTCATGGCTGGGTCCACGATGTTCGTGGCGCTAATAGGCTAATCTTTTTTTAGCATCTGTAAGTGATTATTTTTAGGGGGGGGGGGGTCACCGGGAGAGAGGGGCTAGGACCCCCGGGGCCCACTGATGGCACCGACACCATCTACAGAGCAGGGACCGCATGGTGGAACATGTGGCATGTGGGACAGAACAACTGCAGACATTTGCCACACCATAAATAAAATACTGTCAAAAAAACTCCATGAATTTCAGTCACAGGAAGGCATGATGCTGCCCTCTTCAGCAGACAGGCAGATGGTCACAGACTACAGACACCCGCTCCTGGGCGGTGTTCCACAAAGTAGAATTTCTCAGTTTAGCTAGGTTAACTTAAGCTACATGTCATGACTGTCCAATAAGAGTTTAGGTAAGGAGCCTTCCTATTGGGCAATCATAACTTCTATCTTAAATTAATCCAGCTAACTGGGAAATCCGATTTTGTGGATCACCCACATGTTCAGAGGACATTACGTGCCAGTAAGACTGAATTTTACAAGTTGGTTTAGATAAGAGCTATAAAAACACATTAAAGGAAGGATATACAAACTCTCATAAGGCTGTTTTCTGGTAAGCACCACCCAAACAACAATGGCAAAGCTGTAGACGTCGGACTTCTCAGAGGAGCGGGCATGGATGCTCATCAGATGCTCGGGGGCCATGTAGCTGAGAGTCCCCGCCGTGGTGCCACAAGTCCGCTGGCCCAAGCGGCTCTTATTGCGCGACTCCTCCTTGGTCAGCTTGCTCCAGCTCTGGCACGTGGCGAGGCCCAGATCCGCAATCTGCACACGTGCACACGCACACATACGCATAAACCGTGTGAGTCAGGCACAGGCACTTCTGACGCTGCATGGGGTGGAAGTGAGAAGATGGACACGGAAGCCGGAAAAACACCTTTATCAGCGATTACTGACGAAAGCGGTACATTAGGAGGAGTCCAGGAAGTTGAGGGAAATACAGCTGCCAGTGACAAGTAGGAGTAAGGTTCAGTCAAGGCGGGTGCAGAAAAAGGCACCACCTTTTAATGTTTCCCAATCCAGTCCTCGGGGACCCATAGTTCGTCCACATTTTTGCTCCCTCTCAGCTCCTGGTAGGGAACAAAAATTTGGACTGTCTGTGGCTCCCTGAGGACCGGATTGGGCCTTAGTGGAATCCACAGGGGCTGAGAGCTAGAACAGCAACTTTCACTGTTAAAAAGAGCTACAGATAAGTCTTAAGATTCCACCATCCCCCTTTCACACGTTTCCAGGTTCACTATCAGGATTCAGAGATGACATCTGTCAACTCTGTTATGAAGACACTTTTACAGCAATGGTTCTCAGTCCTGTTCCTGGCGTTCGCAGCCAGACTGTTTTCATTCCAACCCTACTTTAATCAAGCTCAGATGGTCCTTAATAGGCTAATAATCAATGAGACAGGATGAAAGCAGAGTGGGTTGGAATGAACACATTCTAGCTACACCCTCAGAAAAAAGGGTACCAACTCTGAGGAACATCCCCAAGGTACAAATAACATTAATGTACCATCAATGGTACAGAAATCTTCCTCAGACTCCATTTCTGTATCTTAAAATGTATTACCTACAGCTGAAGGTACGATTGACAGACCCTTGAGGGTACAACCCCAGTGACAAGCAAAGGTACAAACTGGTACCCTTTTTTTCAGAAAGTGTAGGGATCCTCCAAGAACAGGATTAAGAACCACTGGTATTCAGTAAAAGGTAAAGACATACCTTGATATGGAAATCCTCATCTACCAGTATATTGTCTGGTTTCAGGTCTTTGTGAATGATGTCATTCTGTGATAAGTACACCATTCCATCAAGGATGTCCAGAATGATCCTCCCCTTTATGGAGACTGGTACGTCAACCTGGAACAATGCAGGTCTTTTAAAGCAAAGATGCTACACTGTAGTAAGACCTTATACAATGTTTGGGACTACTCTGCAAGCACGTTCCCAAGATGCTACGCTGGACATAAAAATAAAATATTGAAGGTGACTTTCTATTTCTCAGATTTCAAATCATTTGTGTGCCATGACTGAACCAAACGTTTGCGTGAGGCCACGGTCCTTTATGAAAAATGCTATTCATTTGAGCAGTCATCATAATGCACTACAGGTATCTTCATAATGCATTATAATACACTCATAAAGTATTATGAATACAGCTATAACTATTTATAGAAAGGAATATCACATTACACCCATGCTTATTAAACACTATGAATGCTTTATGACTCTGTCAAGTAAAATGCACTATAGATACCTTCATAATGCAATATAACGGTCAATATAACAACTAAAGATGCTTCGTACTGCATTATAAAAGTATTTATGGTGCATTATAGATGAGAGCCTCATAGAGCATTCATAATGCATAATAAACATGGCTGCAATGTGTCATGTCTTTTTATAAACAGCCGTATTATCTTATGTCATCAAGGAAAGTCTGTGTGAAATACCCTGTCCAGCATAGCCAGCAGGTTGCCTCTAGAGATGAACTCCATGACCAATGAATAGGCCCCGTCCTCCATGATCAGGCCCAGAAGCTTGACGATCCGCTTATGGTTCAGTTTGTGCAAGATACGACCCTCTTCCATCAGAGACTTTTTGTACTTACTTATGACACAAATAAAGAAAAAAAGCATAGGAAGACAGTAAAATATGTAGCAGTGATTTACATCTTGTCAGTACATGCTGCCCTCTTTATCCTTCAGCAACTTAATCACAAATCCAGTAATTTAAAATGTGAGCAAGTTATTCCAGTTTACATAACTAAAAAAAAATTAAAAATCTGTCAAGCCACGACAGGAAGCACTAAAAAATATTCTATTTATAATAAATAACAGCATTAGGCAGGTGGTGTTTGATAATATTATACAGAAATGATAACTGGTAGTATCATATAAAAACACTTCCTGTCCTGATACCTCTTCAGGAAATCCCATTCCACCATTTAATAAATGTCTTTTGTTAATGTATTGAGACATGCATCCACTGAAACTGTACTTAAGAGTATCCTAGAAGTAAACGATAACTAAGCAAGATAATTCCCACATTCAGTATTTTTTCCCATGTCATTACAACTGAGTGGGCAATCCTATAAAAGGTCACAAAAAACTAGTTAGTTGGGTAGTTAATCAGACATAAGCTGTTCAGTTCTGACATTAAGAGTAGTGAGGTGACTTACTCGTTCGGTGGGTATCCCGTGTAGACGGTCTTCTGGACCACCTGGCCGTGCGTCTTGTGGTAGCACAGGTAAACCTGTCCAAAGCAACCAAAGTCCAAGGGAGCCTTTTTGATAAGGTCTGCAGACGTCATGCAGATGGACTCCGATGCTACAGCCATTGCCAGTAACTAAGCAGCTTAGCCCTTGACACGAAACAGAAAGAGGATAGCAATACGCCAGTCAAAAGTTACGTCAAAGTAATGACATGAAAACAGCGTCAATCGTGTATGGTTTTCTATTACTAAAATGAACAAATACGAAACATCCAATAGTCATAAAAAGTTACAGAAACCTTTTAACGTAAAATGTAATTACGACCTTTTAAAGCGTCTGCTAACAGTTTTATTCTTTCAATTCCTACAACACGCTAAGTATTTAAACGATATTCGCCATTTATAGTTAAAACGAAAACCAAACCCAAAAAAAACAATGTATTAAAAAAACAAATACATTTACAATACATGTATATAATTTAAGCATACTTACCTTCGTACATCAAGGCGTCAGCTTATTTCCGGAAGGTTTGTTTCCCAAAAAGAAAGTAAAAAGGAGAAACTCCGGCAGCACAATCAGACGCATGTAATCAACTGCCGAGGCGCCGATCGCATTCCTCACACGGGTAAATAATAATGACAGATAAATTAGTCATATGTTTTAAACTCAGTTCCGAGTATTTTTCGGTTAACTGAATGATTTTGACAATACTTTAAATAATTATTAATCGAATCAAACTAGATAACTGAATTAATGTAGTGAGTGAATTCAGCATCATGTAGTTACTCTTTTTCATAGACTACTCAGCAGCCAACTTAAACCACTTCCTTTTTAGACAGTAATATTATAACAGGAAGAAACTAAAAAGGGGACACATTAATCGGTAATAAGCAATAAGCGTAGTCTATGAACATTGAAAATGCATTATTGAAACAATACAATAGAGTTGACTCCTCCGGTTAAGATTTTGTTACACAAAGATTCTCTGACAAATATCATATTATTAATTCAAACGATTTAAAAAAAAACCTATATTTCTTATTTTATAATATTTGATGCATTGGTGGCATGTTGATGAGGTGGTTAGAACTGTTGCCTCACACCTCTGGGACACGGGTTCAAGTCTCTGCCTGGGTTACATGTGTGGAGTTTGCATGTTCTCCCCGTGTCGTCGTGGGGTTGCCTCTAGGTACTCTGGTTTCCCCCCACAGTCCAAAAACATGCTGAGGTTGATTGGAGTTGCTAATTTGCCCCTAGGTGTGAATGGTGTGTGAGTGCGCCCTGTGATGGGCTGGCCCCCCATCCTGGGTTGTATCCCGCCTTGTGCCCATAGCTTCCGGGATAGGCTCCGGACCCCCCACGACCCAGCAGGATAAGTGGTTAGGAAAATGGATGGATGGATGATGTATTGGGGAGTGTTGTTTCACACCTCTGGAACTCTGACTTCGTGCTGTGTGTTAGTATGTTATCCCAGTACCTCTAAATAAACCAGTTCACTCCCACAGCTCAGTGACATGCAGTTAGGTGGACTGGCCCATAATATGTAGATGTACTAGCATCCTGTTCAAGGTGTTTTCCCTACCTTGTGCCCCATGACCCTGTAATGGATGGATGGATGGATAATATTTGCAAACTAAATTTGCATTTAGTGAGGTTTGTATTGTTTTATCGGCTGCAATCTCAAAGTAAATCAAGTGAATTCATTAATGAATTGCACTAAAAATGGTGACTGTTCTACATGTTGTTATTAGTTAACTTTGTGAGCAAATGAGTGGAGATTGTTTGTATGAACTGTGATTGACAAAGTTTTGTTTGTGGGTTTCCAATAGGAAATATTGGTGTTGTTGTACTTAATGTTTAATGCACTTCATCATGTTATACAGCCATGGAAAAAAATTTAAGAGACCACAGCAAACTTTTTGTTTCTGTCACGATCGCGGCGGTCGAGCAGGCAGGAAGCGGCGATGAACGAGGCAAGCAAGCAGGCAGGATAGCGGGAAACGAGGGTTTATTTGGGGTGATGGGCCAGACAGCGACGCACATCACATCAATGCGGACACCCAACTAAGGAAGACGTGGACTAATATACATGAAACAACCAGAAATAACAGGGAACAGCTGGGTACAATAAGGGAAGCACACGTGGATGATGAGGGGGCGTGGCACACACGAGGATCGGACGAGCTGGGCGCAGAGTACTGTATGTGAGTGGAGTGGAGCGGCAAGAATTTCCGCTCCGGGCTCAGAGCATTTCATGATCACTCCGCTCCAGCTCCGCTCTGGGTTTACCATTTTCCGCTCCTCGCTCCCTCCCCGCTCCCTCCTCACTTGATCCTCGCTCCATGTTCGCTCCATGAAAAAAATGTCTCTAATTAACGCTCCACTGTAATTTTTCATTATTTATTTATTTTTATATCGAACCTCTGTGCGTTCAGTGAAAAACAAATGCACAATACTTGGAGAAAAATATCAACGTGCTTTAGTAGAACAGTAGCTATATTAGCCCAAGCCAAATATAGCTCACTTTTGAACAAAATGAAATACAAATGCTGGATGTGGCTAGATTAAATAATTAACCAGAAGAAAAACATTACATTAAATAAAATAAATAAATTACTAAACTAAAATAAGTTAAACAAGTGGCCAAAAAAAAAAAAAAAATGCATGTAGGCTATTATTGCCTTCTTTTTAAACCAAATTGTTGGTTGAACAGTCACTCTATTAATGATCAAAATTAAATCTCCAATGCTGCATTCACTTTGAGAAAAACGAGCTTTTGCAGAGTGGAGGGTATCAAGCAATTGATTTATGCAGTTGGTATTGGCAATTTGGGTTGTTAAAGCATTTCAGGGGAGACGGCGATTATATTAGAAAATTATAATTTCTACCTCTAATATTTAGAGAGACAAAGAAATGTATTATGAACCACCGACCTTTAGATTTGCTGTCCAAGTGTGAGTGGAACACTGTATCGTGTTTTCTCGACACATGCCTTTTAAGATTCTACAACGAACCTTTTGTCTCGCTTTCTCCTTTGTCGTCATTACCTTTTAAGATACATTTGTATTTTTGATCACCTTCTTTAAAGTAGTATTTCAGAAAATCCATCTTTCTGTCAGTGGTGCTTAACTGTGCTTTGCACAACATGAATTCGTTCATGCTATAGCTAATGCAGTTGCATTATGGGCCGGAGCGGTAGTGGAGCGCTCTTGGAGCGAGAGAAAATCGCGACGCTCCGACTTTCAAAAAATACGCTCCAAGCTCCAGGCAAAATCATGCAGCTCCACGCCTCGCTCCGCTCCCACTCCGCTCCGCTCACATACTCTGGCTGGGCGTGACAGTTTTACTCATTTCTCAATTTATGGGTGTGAATCTGTGAATAATATTATTTTCTTGCAAACTGCAGCCTGATTCTTCTCTGTTTCTCATTAATGAAGAGCTTCTTCCTTGCTTTACGGGACTTCAGTCCTGCTTCTAGGAGCCTGATATGAACTGTCCTAGCAGTGCACTTCACACCTGCACTTAATGTTTCCCGTTCCTTTTGAAGGTCACTTGATGTCATCCTATGATTCATGAGAACAGTCATCTCTGGCATTAGAATGTCGCTTCTGCCCTTTATCTGTCTGGTTTCTGGTCATTCCCAGTGTCTCCTGCTTCACCTTATTCTTTTGTACTGCTGACTTGGAAGCAACCTGCTTTTCAGCATAGCCTTCTGCCATCAGAACTATGATTAAGCCGCGATCTAAAATGCAAATTTGTTTAAAAATACAGGTCTCTTAACTTTTTCCATGGCTTTACATTGTTTTTATTTTACTGTTTATACTCTGTTTCACTACTGTTGTTTCACATTAAGTTGTGTCGTCACCAGAAATTACTCCAGTACATTATTTTTGTTGTATTATGTCTGTTTACTTTTATTGCCCTGAGGTCTGGCCCTGCATTAGACCACAACCAATTCCTGTATGTTCCACTTATGGGCAATGCAGTGCTTAGAGTTCAACTGATTTTCAAATTTAATATATGAGATATCTGTTTCAGTTACTGAGTCTAAATCTGCTGGTCCCTGTTCACATAAAAATCGTACTCTGATCCAAATTATATATTCTAAGATATTACAATTCCGAAAACCCACTGCAATCCAAATGATGAGGTCTACGGCACAGTACCATACCCTAGGCCTCATTCTTTGAGTGCAATACCACTAGAGTTTCACTCATGTTAAAACAGGGTCACAATCCAGGGGCCTGTATCAGTAAGCAGGATTTCCTTCTTAGCCGCATAACTTGTCGGATTTAAGGTAGTCTGGGATAAACCTTTAGACTGTCATACCTTAAATCCGACAAGTTATCTGGCTAAGCAAGAAATCCAGCCTCGTGACACTGGCACCAGAGCTTTCCTGTTAGCTTCAGTAACACTCTCTATCAAAAATGGCATTAATAATTAATATCCTGATAATTAGTGATCAGTTAATATGGGTCCTGTGGTACGGCCATGTACAGAAACGCAGAAAATCCACTCAAAGCTGTTTTTGTTTTCTTTTTGCTTGTTTTTTGTTTTTCTCTCTAGTTATTTTGGAACAATGAGCAGCACATTTCCGGCCCGTACGCGCAGAAAGACTCGTAAAACTACACCGAGTTTCCTTGCTGTGGTCCCTCTACAACCTCCACCACAAGTGCAGTCACCTATCTCAGCTAAGAAAAAAAAAGCCATTTCCTATAGGCACATCTGCAGCGAGCTGCCGACCTCCACGACACTAACAGCTCTACTTGCCCACTCCGCACCCCGCGCCTCGCGGCTTCCTGTCCAACGCCCACCGCCCTCTTGTCTCACATTCAAATTTCCCCCGCCTCCCGGCTCCCTCGTGATTCAGCACACGCTGACATGCCAGAGAGCATTATGGGGATTTCCTGTTCACTCGACCTGACCTTCAGCGGGCTCCGAGCAACCGATTGCGTCAATCCAGACCACAGGCTTTTATGCGTACCTTCCTGTGATTTACGGCCATTTTTTTTTCGCCGAAAAACGATGTTGCGATACCTAGAAAAGTAGCCGGTATATGCTGTGGTGTGTTCCTGTCGAAGAGGCACCCAGTAAGGCCCAGGCACATCTTCAGTTTATGGACTAGGCCACAAATATATGATCTGATTTGAGGAATGACAGCATCCACTGCACCACAAGGATGGATCTGAGTTCATTTTGACAGAAATGAAACAACAAACCTTCACTTTTTTGTGGTGTTTCATAAGACACGTAAAGAAGCAGTTGGCTTTCAGTATTGAATATAACTTATATAAGTATTTGTTCAAATTCATAGACCGTTTTACAATTAATTTTTTTCGGGCCATTTTTAATGCGATTGTTTTTTATTGACAGGAAAAATGATGGTAGCACAAACTCACACTTTTACTGGCAGTATGACTCATGCCAAATTATGATAAAAAAAAAAAACGAAGCAGCGTAAGATCGCTCATTGATAAAAGCGGCTTTCTGTGAGTCGCCTGGGAAAACACCGCAGTGGAACACGCTTCAAACCGTGAAGCACATGTGACAGATTCACATGGCCGTGCTTAAATACTGTACGACACTCGTCGGGTTTCTGTAAACGCCTCTGTTGTTTGTTGTTAAATTCTCATATACAAAACCGCAAATCAGACCAGAAACTATGGGACCAGTCTGCGAAGATGGCTAAAAATAGACACCTTTCAAAATGCAAGTGCACAACAGATACCTCTCAAAATATAGCTGTCTGGAAATTACTATGTTCGCCGTGTCTGTCTGTTTACTGTCACTTTCTCTAATTTCGACTAGTGAACAATAAACAAGACACTTTATATTTTTGATGACTCAGTTGTGCTATCTTTAGTGCTTTTATCCCCTGATAACAGCTAACTACTTCTTCCCCAAGCTACACAAGGGAAGACGCATCACTATTTTGCAGACTTCCATTTGATCGGTATCGAGCAAATGACTAACTACCGTGCCAGTGTTAGTCTTGAAGAAAGTAACATGATGGGGGAGGGGACACGCTGGGGGAGCTGGCGGTGACATTACAGCCGGGGACGTGCAGGTGGAATTCGAAATAGCGACCCGTATAAGAGGAGACATGGCAGAGTCGGAAAGGTATGCATCCTAACTTCCACCTGGGTGTCCGTGTGCTCGTGTTCAGGGAAATGACTGTTAGGCCTGTCTTTTCGATGAGCGCAGCAGTGAAGAATTTCTGCGTGTCATCTTTTATTTTCGTACCCTGGATGCGGAACAGCCACTGTACGCTGCAGATACTGTGACGCGTGACTAATATATCAACCCAAGTTCGTTCTTAGGATATTGTAAATGCAAAAAACCCTTGACATGGTAGATTGTTATGATTTTAAATCAAGGCACAAGTGCATTGTAAATCTACTGCTATTATGTAAATCTACTGCTATTACCTGATCCCAGCCAGCTATGTTGGCATAGGCAAGGCATTCTGGGTCAAATGTACATCGCTGCACTTGAATGTAATTTAAATGATTAGTTTATTTTCTACTTCTGATATATTAGAAAAATTTGGTTCATTATTGTGTTACATAACATGCTAACGTTTCAAATTCTTGTAAACAGTTTTGTAGAACACAATAATGGTGTTGCTGAAAAGAAAAGTACTACTATTCATTTTGTAATGAGTTCATTTTTCAAATTCACTAGGCCTAGCTGGTGTTTATGAAAAGAAGCTTGAATTGCGCTAGCAATGGCTTATCCGAAGGATTCTGGATACGGTCGATGACAATTTTTATCATCGGGGACCTCTCCACCACCCCCCCTCCCATTGCCAGGTTGGTCTGGGATGTAATATTATCAGACTGAAACACAGTCCCACCTGAGCTATGCAGTACATAAGAAGGGGTGTTGTCATTAAAATTCTGGAGTCAATAAGCAGAACGATAATTATTTCCATTTTAATCTATTTGGTTCCTCGGGAAAGATCATTTGGCTTCATTATAAACAATGGAAATTTCATTTTAAACTCCCTACTGCTGTTACTTTCTCTTCTAGTAACTCGTTTCTTGCAGGCCTGCAGCATAAATATTTTTGGAGTAACATCTCGTTCACACGTGCGAGGTTACATAACTGTGCCCATATATAAATTATTAGGACAATGAATAGATCTTCGAAACGCTGTAGCAGAAAGCTTCTCTCCGAGAGGCAGGGCTGTTCCTCGCATGGTCATTCGGTAACTTCCATATAACTCAGTCGCTTCGAGTCTTATAAAGCGTCACGCTGCCATACAGGTCAGTACATTTTGATGAGTGAAGAGGGAAAGTCCCCTTCTGCCTTTTCCCAGCATATTGTTTAATACACTAACTGCGCCGCACTGAGGGCGACGCCGCATACGGAGCTCGGACTACATATCCCAGGGTGCAACAGCAGCCAGCGACTTTACGGCATTTGACAGCCAGCCTGGCTGCGGGCGCAGGCGGACTGACCGGCGGCGCTTTGGTTCCTGCGGGCGGCGTTAACTGCGCGTCGCGACGGGAAGCTGAGCGCTCCGAAACCCGGAGGGAGTATTGAGCCGTCCCGGCTGCTGAACTTCAGACGCCTGTGCTTGAAATGGGAAACGGGATTAATAAGGTATTTCGCAAGCTGTCCTTCCGTCGCAGTTCAAGTTTGAAGAACCTTATTTGCCATTCTTTACTTTTCTTTTTAAACCAGTTGCATTATTATTATTATTATTATTATTATTATTATTATTATTATTATTATTATTAGTAGTAGTAGTAGTAGTAGTAGTAGTAGTAGTAGTAGTATTGCTGTTGCTACTTGTTAAATATCTCAGCTGCATCTGTCGTGCATGCCTGGACGCAGGGGATCGTTGTGCATGTTTTGTGCAGAGATCCCGTACTTGGGAGAGGGCTGCGCCTGGCCGCTGCATGAGTGCGTTAGTGTGTTAGATGACAGCCACTGCGTGATATAGTAATGTTAATGTCCGTCACAGACTCCCCACACGCTAAATTCGGAGGTGGGCGATCAGTGCACGCCAGTACGGATCTCATTTTCATGGACAAATAAAGCAGGAACACGTTTCTTGTTAAATGCCTTAAGGCTGTTACTCCTAATGCATTCGACGTTAAACAATTCCTCCTGCGCTGGTAGCTGGAAGTTCGCTGGTTGCTACTCAGCTGTTGTTACTTTGCACGTATGATAAGTGCTGGCATCTGAGGACACTGGGACCGTTATTGATCACAAACCATTTAGACTAATGTAGGGCCTTCCCTCTGAGAAGTACCCAGAACCATTACCTCTCATACTGCAATCATCATATTCCTATAGATAAACGTTATCTAATCAAGGGTGTGCATGGGGATTTTTGGTTTGCTTTAATGGCCTCGTATGTCCTAAAAACTTTTGCTCTTCCTCTTGATGTTTGTTTAGTATAGTGTTTTTCTCAGACTATTTAAGCTTATACTCTGTCCACATTGTAGGGATTGCGAAAAAATCAGGCAAATTCTGGTGTCACTAGGCGATGGATTACCTAAGCCTGATGTCATGCTTCAGGCATTCACTTCCTTCTCTGATCTGTTACTTCCTGCTCTGATCTGTTACTTCCTGTATCATGTGTCATGTGTCATGTCTCCCTTTGATGAAGGCACCTCTGCCATCCCCATTTTATCAGTTACCGACTCACCCAGCCCTTTTGGTGGGTCAGCCTGGCTGGTCGTAATTAGCATCTTTCGGTTGGGGTGGAGAGATCGTGCGAATCTTAGACGTCTTACCACATCGAGATGCTGGGGTGTGGGCTGGAGAGATGAGGCAAAGAAAAGCTTGATGTTATCTGTTGAGATGTCTCATGCAGCCCTGAGGTAGACGTCAGTGGCCTAGGGAGGGGGTGGGGGGACACCTCTGTTGATGTGAGGTCCTCAGTCAGCTTACTGTATAGGACAGGCTTCCGTGTTGTGCAGATCGTAATGTACTACTGTGACAGAAATGTTTGTCATTAATCATACCTCTTTATCAATGGCACCAGCAATCAGTCGGCTTTAAATACAATAAGCCTTCATAGCCCCCCCGACGCAAGGCCGCCTAATATTTAAAACCCCCTCACCCTTCACTTATGTATTATGTAGTGATATTCCAAGTCAGTGAAGTCTGAGAATAGAATATGATGTCGTTGTTGTTGTTTTTTTTGACCAATCAGCTCTTGACCTGTCGGCTTGCTTATTTTTAGGTGCTGCCTGACCTGTACCTGGGAAATTTTAAAGGTAAGTGACTAATGTCAGACCCCAGGACTGCAGCGGAGACAAAGCAGATCCATTAAAGTAGAAAATGCGGCAGCAGAATGAGGCACAAATCACCCGTGGAAGAGGGTAGTGAAGTCGAGTGCGACGTCCACCGTCGCAGCTTTGACTGAGGCCAGGATAGACTATCGCAGCGATGCATTACAGACGTCATTGCCAGGGCTTTCCATGTGACTGCGTTTGTCAAAGAGAGGGATATCGCAAGAAATATGATCGCATTAGGAGGCGTTGACCTGTGCAGCCTGCTGCAAATTGCATTTACCCACCCCCTCCCTCCTTTCAGATGCCCGGGATAAGGAACAGCTGGCAAAGTACAATATCACACATATTCTGTCCATCCACGACAGCGCCGCCCCGCTGCTGCAGGTAAGGAGGTGCTGTCCGTCAGACATCTTGGAAAATCGGCGTTGCCATCTTTGTGTTCCCGAAACGGTGCTGTAATGCTATTCACGGGTTTTGTTTTTGGCCGACGCCGTCCCGCCTGGGCTGCTGACCCGTGACGCGGGATGCAGGATCAGGTTTCTGTCCCGAGGCGCTTTGTCTGCCAGAGGGCACAGACTGGATCGGCACCGCGGTACTGCGAGACCCACCTCAGATTTCCCAGCGGGCCTCTGTCCTAAAAAGATGCCCTGGGTTATTGTCCACAGTGCATTCACCCAATATCTGTATTTTATCTTAGACGTCAACCGGTTGTTTTGTTGTTATCAGCCTGTATTTACCGTATTTATTGCAATATCAGATGTCGGCAGGTTCTGTATAGAATGTTCTCTGTCACCAAGGAACTCATGGGAGTTTTACTTACACAAAAATGTTCTATGGGCAGAACAAAAACTGATTGGTTTAGAGAGAGAACCAGTCAGATTGTAGAGGAGATGGGTCTAAGCAACTAGCGGAGGCTGGACCAAGACATCTGATTGGTTGGTCCCACCTCCTTTAGTTGCTTGTACCCACCTCCTCTACAATCTGATTGGTTCAGAGAGATAACCAATCAGTTTTTGCTCTGCCCATAGAACATTTTTTGTGTAAGAAACTCTCACGAGCCGCCAAGGAGCCACCTTTATGTGAGTCTTGGGGCTGAGGAGGGCAGGGATCCATCTGATGTGCGGGAAAGGCCGCAGTGGAGCACCTTCCGCTTTGCTGGGTCATCTGACCCACGTTGTCTCCCCACTTGGCTCCATTTGACATGCTTCCTCTCACCTCCTCTGCCTCCACGGAGCCTCGGCGTCCTCTGAAAGGCGAGGAAGGAACGGGGGCGGGGAGAGGCCCGCAAAGAGCGACATCCGCGAGAACATTTTCACGGCTGCCGCGTCAAACATAGTAACGGCGCGTCTCTGTAGCTGAGAAATACCAGCAGAGTCGCGAAGTCGCCGTTATGCCGCTCTGCTGGGATCCATCTGATGTGCGGGAAAGCTTGAGAAGGAACCGGGAGTGCTCTCACGGATCCCGGGTCTGCTTCGATCCGGACGGGAGGACAACACTCCCTCTGAGCCGTGATTTGTTATCTTTCCGTTTCTTTCTCCCCAAAATAAACCTCGTCCGCCCAGCTGGACATCTGTTTTCACTCAGATCATGATGGCTGTTCAAAGATGCCAACGGGGTGCCACGAGGCTGAAGGAGATGCTAATTCTTTTTTTCGCTCACTTGTCTTTGCTGCCCTATGCGACATTATTGATGTCCCGCTCAACGGCGTCACCTGTGGTGCCTTGCAGTCAGGAGCGCCAGATTTCAGCCATCTGACCGCGAGACTATAATTACGCACGGAATAAACCTCGGATCATCATCCAATTGCCGTTTGCAATCCCCAATCAGAAATGCCCCCACCTGTAATTTTAACATTTTTGTTCGAGGCACAGAGTTTGCAGCGGCTGTTTTTATCTAACCTTGTCGCGTGTTTTGGGTATTAAAGGCATTTTAACGTGCTTTTGGGGAGAGGAACCTCACATCACCATACAATTTCCTCTGCTTCACATCTGAAAACTACTGTCATCAGAATAATGACATATAGTCTGTGTTTTATGTTGCCTATTTGTTCATGTCACCATCAACTGAGGTGCATTTCGTTGTGCATAAGGGGGTTGGGGAGCTTAGACGGGCTTTTTTATTCATCCACCCTAAAAATGGAGGCTACAATGACATCATACTTTTCTGCCCACTCGCGCACCATTTTAACCCATGGGCCACGCCCCCCTCATTATGATTTCATGTCAAAAATCCATGTACTAGCCAAGGTAACCTCGCACTACTCTGCGCGTAAAACGTCACCAGTGCGGTTTATGGGCGTGTTGCAGCGCTCAAAAATCTTCTGATGGTTTTATTTTTACCCCTCCGTGGCAGATCTGTTAAGACTGGCGTTGAGGACCCGAACGCAGGCGATGCATCGCCGAGACAGTCCCTGCTTGTGGGTGACCTTTATGGAGTGGAAGTGATGCACAGGATGCATTTAATGTGCCCCCTGCTGCATGGCTTTGGTTAAATGGTGCATTTTGTGTGTCTGTGTGAGACTCGGGGGCCCCTGGCTTTTAGCTGCCTGCATGCTGAAGCTAACAGGATGGATCTTGCTGCCCCTAAATTAACTTAAAGATGCAAGGCGCCCCGTGTGAAAGATGTCACATCAGAGGCGAACAGATGGATATTTGGGCCATTAATTTGCGGATGGACGTCTCTGCACGCTTTGCGTCTGAAACAGCTGCGCGCTTCGGTATATAGAGAAACTCCAGTTGCGCCGTCGTCTCAGTGAAAGCCGCTTGCAGTCGGGCACCGAACTTTTGAGGTATCGTCTTGTAAAACGAGGCCTCCCTTCTGCCCGCAGGAGATGACCTACCTATGCATTCCTGCCTCAGACCTACCAAGCCAAGATCTGTGAGTATCCACAAGACTCCACCATCCACACCAGTTCTGTGCGGGAAACGCTGGCGCTCTGTCAGACTGATCACGGTGGAACCTGCATTTTTTTTTTTTTTGTTCATCAAAATTAAGATATTGAGAGACTTACACGCCAACATGCTAACCACACGCACACGCAGGCACTGCCTTCCTGTTAGGTGGAGGAAGGTTTTTTTTTCTGCTACAGGAAGGAAGTTCATAGCTCTGCTATGCTCCATCACTATTTTTACCTCTGTGGGTCTTGATGCCCCCGAGCAGCCGCTTGCTGGCGTCCGGGCGACGCATTGGAGCAGCACCCAAATGGCCAAACATTACAACAGAGGCTGTTTGGCCAGGCTGCTCTTCCTGATCCAATCAGCTCCTTTCCAGAGGATGATTGACAGCGGTGCTGCCCACTCTCATTTCTCCATCAGCTGGTGGGCGGCGGGAAAAACATGGCATCTCAAAAGTGATCTGCATGGGCACAAAAGTACAATGAAACCACAGTTTAAAAACAGATATGACTTTATTTCTCATCTTTTTAATAGAAGATCGACCAGATCCTTCTGTGACGCATGTGTAGGATGTAGATATTGCAGCCCAGCATCATATTTATAATCAGCGTATGATTTTTCTTCATCTTCAACCAGGACACAGCATTTTAAGGATAGCATCGCATTCATTCATGAGTCCCGCCTGAAGAGAGAGGGATGTCTAGTCCACTGGTGAGTCAGAACCACTGCGCTGTGCACGAGCTACCCACCCGGGGCCGGTCACCCCGCTGTCGGTGTGACGAGCTGTACGCCGACTCCCGGCTCGTCCTGTCTGTGTTTGATTGGCAGGTCCTGGGTCTGTCTGCGCTCCGCTACATGTTGCTGTTTTTTAGGTCTAAGCCTGGTGCTTAAACACGTGCCGGGATCCTTAATCCTCACCGAGAGTTAATAATTCATCTGTCTTCAGAGCAGTGTCCCGCTATGGGATCGCAGAGGGTATTCTGGGTAAACACGAGGCAGGGAAACACCCTGGATAGGATGTCAGTCCATCACTGGGCACACGCGCACACACACACACACACACACACACACTCAAACCCCCCTCCCCGTATGTATGGTGTAGCAGTGCTTCCCATAGAATTAAGCCAACTAATCATTATGTTGCTTAATCCAGTGCAGTGTGGATCTGTACCTATTAATCAAGCTGAAGTGTTTCTGTTGGGGCAGTGGGCATTGCCCCCCCCCCTCCCTAGGATTGAACCACCAGCCTTTCTAATAAACCAACAGATTAGGTTAGGCGTGCAGAGCGTGTTGCGGTGTTTTGTTTTGTTTTTTTGACCATGTGTGATCTTGCAACATAGAGCAGCTAGCTGTCGAGAGAAGCAGCCGCTTCGCTAGCGCAGTGAGTATTATTAGCAGGGTTCGTGTCATCGGGGTCCGGAGATGGCGAGTGAGGCTGTGAAGGCTCCGGAGTAACGTCATCAGGCTGATTCGCACCCGTCCCTCACGTTTTGTCTTCTCGCCGGGGGGGGGGGATCCCACGGCAGCCTGGCAGGCGTGTCCCGCAGTGTCACCCTGGTGGTGGCCTACATCATGACCGTCACCGGGCTGGGATGGCAGGACACCCTCAGCGCCGTGCGGGTCGCTCGCCCCTGCGCCGGCCCCAACGCCGGCTTCCTGCGGCAGCTGGAGGATTTCGAGAGCAGCCAGCTGGCCGACGTAAGTGTGTTCCTCCTGTGGGCCAGATGACGAGTAGCTGAGAAGTCGCCCGAAGTTCCAGTTTCAGAACGAAGAGCGAGTGTTTTCTCCGTCTTCTGCCGGGAATTGAAACTATGACTGTTTTGATCAAGGTATATAAGACGTGATTATTGACTATTATTTAAGATTCAGGTGAAAACTCCACTGATTATACTTAAGAAACGTGTAAGTAGCTTGACACTGCACTCATGTACAATAAGAAGTTATTAAAAGGGTATCAGATAGCGATGAAGTCGCCATACTCTCCTGTGTCCATTGCAGACCATCAGTCCGCTTTTCGTACCAACATATCTGCCACAGGGTCACGCTGAGCCTGTCACAGGCAGCGCACTTCCAGAAAAAAGGGTAAAAATGTCTACCTTTGCTTGTCACTGAGACTGTACCCTCAAGGGTCTGCCAATTGTACCCTATAGCTGTAGGTAATTGTACCTTTTAAGGTAGAGAAATGGACTCTGAGGAACATTTCTGTACCATTGATGGTACATTAATACTGTTTGTACCTTTGGGATGTTCCAGAGTCCATTTCTGTACCGTAAACGTACAATTTTAAGGGTACAGCCCCAGGGACAAGCTAAGGTACAAATTCTTACCCTTTTTTTTTTTCCTGAGAGTGAGCAGTGAACAAGGCAGAGGACACTCTGGCTGGGATGCCAGTCCCAGCCGACCCGTTTAAATGAATTTGTGTTTAAATGAGGCCCATGAGGACAAATGAGGACAAAGTCATCCCTGTCTTCCCCCAGTACAGGGCGTGGCTAAAGGGGAAGTACAAGGAGAGCCCGTTTAACGACATGGAGGAGGTCCAGATCCTGCTGTCCGAGAAACTCAAGGCCAACGGAGCCGATGTGGCCCAGCCAGGGCTCCGCACCACCTGACGGGGGGGGTGGGGGCTCACGCCTGGCAGAGAGCCGGCCCACCTGACGTTCACTGTGTTTGGGGCGGCCGCTCTGTTACCCGCTTTCTATCTGTGTCTGATTGGTGCCTGTCAGTCTTGGGGTGCAGTCTGAAGGTTTGCACGAGGGAGGTGGACATTTCTGTGTGCAATAGAGTCAGTGTTGTGTTCCTTTATTCAGAAACTCTCCAAGTCTATGTAAATATGCAAAGTGTGTATAAGTTTTGTTTTTTTAACAATCTAAATGAATAAACACCTTTGTATTGTTGTATATGTAAAATTTTGGTAATTTCTATTAAGGAATTTCATTTTGTAATGCAAAAGAAGTTTGTTTTTTTTCCCAAAATTTTCAAAAGGGCAGTTAAGTTTCAAATAATAAAGTTTAAGCTGTCTACTTAAAACTTTTTAGAATGTTCTAGAGCGTTTTGTTGTTTGAAAGCAGGAAGAGACTAAACATTTCTAAACGGAAAATAAAATACATGTGTATATTAATGGCAGAACGGTGGTTTCTTTGGTGCAAATTTTCAGTTGATTCTAGGGTTTGTTATAGAGACATAAAACAAAACTTTGAACTAAAATAAGAAACAAATATCTACTGAGTCGTTTTTTCCAATAGATATATGGATTATGGTGCACCTGGAAATAAAAACATGATTTACTCCAGGTAATTACTTCATTGCACAAAACATGTCAACAGCCAAAAAGCCCATTAAAGTAATAAAAAGAGACCCAAAGTATTCAAATAGCCAGTCCATGAAGTCTTCATTTTGTATATTATAGTTGGTATAGTGATTTTTTTCTTTCCTTTTCTGTATTTGAATGAGAATGGGGCATTTTTGTAAGAACACATCTTTACCCGTATTTTAAATCCGTTGTCATGACGTAACGTGTCCTGACATCCTGTCTTGTCTTCCCAAAGCCGCCGTAAGTATCGCAACTTAACTTTTTTGTGTGATCCTTTAATTCGATCATTCTGATCTTATGGACATGAAGCAGGTAAAGTATACAAGTTTGCCAGTGTTCTGCTGTTGGTTCCAACAAAAACGACTGCGTGTCGTTGAGACATTGTAGTCCACAGCCATTATTTAGTACGTTAATGATTTTTAGCGCTTCAGGCGTCCGTGCGTAATTATCTGCTGCACGATTCTTTTATAGTTGTTAAATAATGCCACCTTGGTACAGCCTTTTATTCGAAAAGTTTGTTGTTTCTGAAAATACTTTTCAAACATGCCTAATAAAACGATGCTATTCAAGATATATCAAAACTTCTTAGTATGTAGGCCTGTGCATTGCGTAAATCTTCATTTTTCTAGTCTCTAATAATCACGATATGTTTATCTGATACAAATGACAACAGCGATGTGAACGTAAATCATAGTTTACATTATTTCTTATGGAGGTCTGGCATTGAGCATTTTATAATCATAAGGTACCGAGTTAGGGTACGATGATGACCTGCACCCAGAAGGTGGCAATCATCGCTAGATGGCTACAGTATGGGAGCGAAATCAGCACCGTACTGTATAGTTACTCATGCGACCCGGGTACCATCCACCCTGACTTATTACAATGAATGGTTTAACTTGCTGCCGCCAGATAGAAGTCACATAAAGCGTTTCATATTTATTTCCAAAATATACTAGGCTCTGATACACCAAACTGGGATGAGCGATTCTGCTATAATCCATAAACTATTTTGGCTCAATATATTAACAATAGACGTGAAGAAGGATGCACGGAGATGAGTATTATTTCAGCTAAGTCGTGTTTGTTTTTTCCTTTTTTCTTCTGTAGGGAAAGAATTGTTCCACTGTCCGCGGATTTTATGTGCCGATGGTGAGGGATTTCCCTGCTGTTTACTGTAGGTTCAGGTCAGATGAATTTCTGAGTAGCGGCTTCCACTTAAACTCCTCCCAGTTGTTATTTAAGAATCAAGTTCCTCGTTCTTAGCACTTGTCAGGTCGATCTGAGCGTTAATAGGGTCGTAATTTCTCCAAGGTAAGATACGCCTGGTCTTGATCTTCACTAATAAGCTGCTATAAACAGATGTGAGTGTTATTTTCTATGGAACAATGCAAAATGAGGTAACTTTATCAAATAATTGACTGATTATTTTCTTTTCAATTGGATATTTAAAATTCGCAAGTTTTGCAGATTGGAACATTTTTATTAAATCAGAGAATCTATACACGTAGTTTTCACCGGCGTATTATAATTGTTATTATTTTCTGTATTGGGATCGATCTCTATGACTTTTTTGCATTTTAAATGATAACGTCTGTTTCCAGCGTAACTAAGCAGTGGCTGTTTATAAGACTAATACCGGACGATGCTTAAGATTGTAAAAAGCATTTAGTCGATTGTTTATTGCACAAGAAGTAAGAAACTTTGTAGGACTGCTTGCCTTGTCCGGCTTGTGTATTTTTTGCTTAGACTGACCGATCTAACAGGTGCTCATATGAAAATGTCTCGTCCATCACCCGCCAATGTGTCTATTCTGTTGCATGCATTTTGACAGAAATGAACTTAGAGAGTGACTGCAACATGTCAGTCAGTTGTGGCAATGGAAAACTTAGGCAGTGGCTGATCGATCAGATTGACAGCGGAAAATACCCCGGATTGGTGTGGGAGAATGACGACAAAACCATTTTCAGAATACCTTGGAAGCACGCTGGCAAACAGGACTATAACCGGGACGAGGATGCGGCGCTTTTCAAGGTAAATTACCGTGGAAACTGCTCCCATCGGAAGTTTCATTGCTCTTCTCTAAACGTTTATGTGTAGTGTAGTATATTATAGTATGATATCTAGTAATATATATATACATATATATATATATATGTAGATGTAGACTAAATAATGGAGCTTTGTCGTTTAACACGTTATATAACACTATGGGACCAGTTTAAGATTTATACAGTATCAGGCAGCATCAATAGATGACCTGAAATGCCCTGTCGGTATCTTCAGTGTACCGGCAAAATGAATATCGGTGTATTCTGCATTAGCGTTGCGGAGCAGGCTGACAAGTCGGCGGATTTCAGCAATGAGAATTAGAACCGAGACCTCATTTGTATTCTCGTTTGCAGGCTTGGGCGCTGTTTAAGGGCAAATTCAGGGAAGGGCTCGATAAACCGGACCCCCCGACGTGGAAAACTAGACTCCGGTGTGCGCTGAACAAAAGCAATGACTTCGACGAACTGGTAGAGAGGAGTCAGCTGGATATATCTGACCCATACAAAGTTTACAGAATCATCCCAGAAGGAGCCAAAAGGGGTGCGCTCATTATTATTATTGTTGTTCTTGTTAAGTGACAAATGTTTAGTTTAAGTGCATTATGGGGGATTTGAGAGGTTGTGTCAGGGGGGCTTTGTTTGGGTTTAATAGAGTTCATTTTTATAGTAGTGCCTTACTCTAAGCAATGCACTGAAAGTTTCAAGATAACATCTACCCCATATAGACCCACTAAGACAGCAAGCAAGACGGTGCATGTAGCATGCATGGGTGCCTGAGCCTCATGCCCAGCGCCGTCGCAAATGTCCTTCATATCGACGCCGAACATATTTAGTAGCTCGTTTTGACCTTGCTGAAGAAGCAGGAAATGCAGAGGAAACCAAGGCATCTGCTGCGTGCTGAAAGGCGTCGTTTGGAGGTTCTCACTCGCTCAGGAGCGAATTAAAACGCTGACAGAGACGCGTTATAAACGCGTGCCCACAGAACAGCATCTTAGCGTTGTTTATTTATCGTAACGTATCGGTTATGATTTTTCACTGGTCGCCTCCGAGTTTGACAGCTTGTATGTTTACTTCAGGGGCGAAGCAGATGAGCACAGAGGAGCCCACCAGCCACATGGAACAGCTGGGATACCCCATGCCGGTCCCCTATGCCATGCAAACTCAGGTGACTGCTAACGTCACCGTCACGAAAAGCAGCACGTCCGGAGAGGGGCGGGGGGTGTTCGGCGGGTGTCACGGCAACTCGCTGTGGCCAGGGTGGGTGGGGGTGGTCTGTCGGAGTTTTCAGAAGCCGCAAGGCGGTGAGAGCACTGACAAAAGAGCTTGGTCTTCTGCCCTCACTCGACCTAACCCATTAGTTGTAGCAGTAGAATGCTCTGGTATGAATGATAATCTATCAGTGTTATAGATCAGTGTTATAGATGAATGGATAGGGGGGAGTGAGTCTTTACTAGGGGGGGGCTGATGGCAAACTATTGATATATGATTTAAGCCAATAAATAAATACACATTTATTTGGATGGTTAAATTACATTAAAGCCGCCCCAAAATAAAAAATAGGCCTTACGACGCCCCGGATGCCTCTGTATCCCTCCACCGTGTATATATAAGGTTCATAGCGGATGTTCTTCCTTCTGCGATAGACATTTTCCTGATTTTCCTCCGGTTCTCCTCCCTCCAGGTGCCAAATTATATGGTGGCACCCGAGAGACGGGATTGGAGGAGCTACGTTCCAGAACAGCATCACCACAGCGATTTGCCCTATGGCCACTACCCATCGCGCACCCTATCCTGGCAGGCCCCGCCCTGCGACAATGGTAGGTGTCCCTATAGGCGGACATGACAACCAAGGCCGAATTCCCATGTGCTGTCTCCGAGGGACAGCTGTGGCCGTACTTCTTCAAATAGGCCCACGGCTGTTCCCTCCCGGACGATGAAAGGGCACCATTGATGCCCAGCCGCGTCCGCCATGGCTGGAGCGCAAGAGGCTCAAAGCCCAATTGACACCACTGTCCGTGATTAAGGAACAAGTGGAGAGAGAAGGCAGTTGATGATAGATATCAGTGACTCATGTGTGCCTGGGACAAGCAGGCCTTGAATCATTGATGAAAACGTTCTTTGTGGTTGGAGGGGATTTTTTTAAACAAACCTTTATTTGATGTTCTAAAGAAATATTATTTTTGCAGACAGCGCGTTTAGCTAAGGCTGTTGACTTCCTCCGCTGACTTTCTCCCCCGCGCCTATTCACAGGCTACCAGATCACTGGATCCTTTTATTCCTGCTCCCCGGTGGATTCCCAGTCTCCTGCCTTTCCTCTGGATCCTAGCCGATCCGCAGAGACCCTGGCATTCTCTGGTAAAGAGATATACTGACCACACACACACAGAAGACACACACAAAAACACGACCAAGACAATCAAACACTCTCTAAACCCGCCTTGCAGTGCCTGCTGTATAATAATGTCCGATTTCCTTGCTTTGTTCATTAAAGGTGCTGTAAACTTTGGTAAAATGTTGATATTGATATAATGTTGTCTTACATTTGTACTCATCTGAACATGTTGCTAGATTTCAGTTAACTCAATACAGGAGAGACCAAACGTAGGTCTTAATGCAGTATTATGTTTTTTTGCATATTTTTGTTTTTTTGTGTTTTTTTTAACTATGGTGGTTGTTGACTCTGGATGAGAAAATGTATGTAATGCCAAATGGGTACCCACAAGGAGAACGCCTGTAAATTGCACTTAGTCTGAGATCCCTGTGCTGCTCTGTACCGTGCCACATCTGATTTGCTTTGCATGAATTGTATTGTTTTGCTTTTTTTCTGTGCAAACTTTCGGTAAAGATGAATGTTTTTAGGGCATTGAATCATATCTGTGTATAGTGCTTGAAAGGTTTGTGTTTTTTTGACTGTAACTGCTCCTCTGTGGAATACATTTTGTGTAATTGTTAATGAAAAAAATGAAAAAAGAAATACCATAATGTGTTTTCCATTTTAATAATATTAAAATGCCCTATTAAGTAACAATATGTGTGTTTGCGTGTACTTTTTTCCCCCTATAGTTTATTTTAAAATACCCTTGAAGTACCCTGACACTGTGAGTATTGTATATTGAGTTTAGTAAATAATTCTCACCGCGCTCTGTCCTGTTTTTATTGTTCTGGCAAGTTGATGGAGAAATAACAGAAAACAAGGTAGAAATGGTTGAATTTTAAGGCTGAGCAAATGCAGAAAACACTCAGGAATACGAATGAATAAAGTGGAGATGCTTTAGCATGTGGGACTGTTTATCGTGAGCCTGTTCTCTCCGCGTTATTCGGCAGGATGGCTGGCTGATGACCCCAGTAAGGAGTACCATCATTGCCTCATCTTGCTCCATCTGTGTGCATTGCCCCCTGCAGACCGCCGGCTGCACATCTGCCTGTACTACCGAAAGACCCTGGTGAAGGAGGTGACCACCGTCAACCCCCAGGGCTGCAGAATCTCGTCCGGCCCCGAGGACAGGCAGGGCGGCAGTGTCGAGCAGGTGCTCTTCCCCTTTCCGTATCCCCAGTCGCAGTGCCGGGGCACGGAGCGGCTGTCCGTCACGCTGGAGCGCGGCGTGCTGCTGTGGTTGGCTCCCGACGGCCTGTACGGCAAGCGCCTCTGCCAGAGCGGCATCTACTGGGAGGGGCCGTCGGCCCCCTTCGCTGACCAGCCCAACAAGCTGGAGAAGGAGCAGACCTGCAAGCTGTTTGACACACAGAGATTCCTGGCAGGTATGTGACCATGTCCTATTTACACATACCAACCTTCACTGCCTTTAAAAACCATCATGAATCACATACAGTAACCTTTAAAACTTCAAAATGTCAGCCACGTTTCTTAGAAGCCTGGCGGACCACCGCTTCATTACCCAAATCGGATGGTGGGAGGTTCATTGGCGGCACCGATATATTCGGGTAATCCTCAGAAAACCCGGAAAGGCCCCGCGTCTCCAGACTTTCGGCAAAACCACTCTGTAGTTCAGTACACTGGAAAAAAGAGTAACCCCCCCCCCCCCCAAAACCAGTGGCTTTTCAGTGAAGCGGCGAGAAACAGCCCCCACCCACCATATCTCGGATTACAATATCTCATGCTCAGTTCTCACAAAATAATAGCTAAGTCATTGATTATCGCCACGCAAATATCTCATCCCCACAGAGCCCAAGCACTGTCCGTACTATTGTCAGTGCATTACAAATGTCCTTCAATAGTCTTATTAGGTTCTCGCTCTGTTAGAAGTTGTTGTGTAGCTCCTGCTCCAATCCTGCTTACACTTGTACCTGTGCATTCACTGAAAGCTCAGCCAAGCTGCACTAATGCCAAGTTGACTCCTTGACTGCATGTATGTTTGCTGTTTGCAACGTGTTATTTGCCTGGCTTGTACATCGCTTTGGACAAAAGCACTTGGTAAATATGTATGACGTAAATGTAAAGAAGTGCGATTTCGTCAACCGCTACAGGCCTCTCTTAGTGTTGGTTACATCTGCTCGGGTTCAAAGCCTTCTGGTCCACACGTGTGGCATTGTGAAACCTTAAGGGACCATCTTATTGATCCGGGCATTCTTACTGACAGAGCTCCAGGGTTACGTCCATCACAGCCGCCCCATGCCCAAGTTCCGTGTACTGCTGAGTTTCGGGGACGAATACCCGGACCCACAGAAGCAGATGAAGATGATCACAGCTCAGGTAAAGCTCCTCATCCCTCACTTTCACTACGTCCACCACATGCTGCAGTATCCGGAGCTACTGACTATATGTCCTCATGAGATTAACAGACAGCAAAAAAAAAAACCCTGATTGCACAGTTACAGATAATCACATTGTGAAGGACTTACAGTATGTTTATTTATAGCTGCTGGTTTCAGGTCAGCGGCGTTAATTTTGTGATTACCGGAACACTGTTTTCTCTATAGTTACTTTAAATCCGCCCCCTACAGCTGCACGTGATCTGTTGACGTCGCACGCAAGCACGGTCTAGTGATGATCTGTGGTGGCTCGCCACAGCGTCTAACAAAGCAGCAGTGCTTCACAATGGTGGCAGTTGTTTGCACCGATGCTGCATGCAGTTTCCAGCCTCAGACAACAGTGCCACCTTTGTGCGCCGCTTCCCTGATTCGCGGCCGAATTTTATTTATTTTCACACTGGTGGTGATGCACTTAAGGATGCTCTGGAACGACCGCGCTGCTAACGCTTTGCAGTTACGTGGAAAAGGGTCCTATAGAAAGGAAGACATTGTCACCTCTACTTTCTGTTCTGCATTTTTTAGGTTGTGGAACAGGTTATGAATTTTATTTTACGTTTTTTCCAAATAATAGGGCGTTTAGTCCAGTACTCCACCCTGACGCTGACTTCCTGACCTGGGGGGTAGCAGTGGCTACTGCGAGTGATTGTTAAGAGGGTCGTGAATGGATTTAGTCTCTAGCCTTGTGATTAACCCCCCACACGCCATCCCCCCCCATTGCAGATCTTGCACCTCGACAGGGATTCAGTTCAGTCAGCTATAGCGAGATCATAATGATTAAGTATCTTGTGAGTATCTCTAGTCTGGCCCAAGTATGGCGTTTAGGGCTGAGTTCAACCTCCGTCGCTACTCTCCTCAGGTGGAGCCTGCGTTTGCCAAACAGCTGGTCAGCTTCACACAGCACCCCGATGTCCATTACGCCCCCGGGTATGAACTTCTGCAGCATGGGGCAGCCACCTCGGAGGAGAGAGTCGCACGCCACTCCGGCATACAGGAGTGAGGCCCTTGGCCTAGGACCCATGACAGCCACCCCAACGGACCTACCTGGCAGATAGACGGCAGGGGCAGCCTAAGAGAAGATGCATAATGAGGCTCTAGTCTTTGCCATACTTCTCGTCGCTCACGTGGACACCGGGGAGTCAGACGCTCGAGCCAGTCGAACTAAGAAAACTCGGTCTCTTCTCCTGCTGTTTCTCCTCCTGAGTCTCGGGAACATGCTTGTTCCACATGATGGATTTTTCTTTGGGGGTCTTGGAGCTGCCGGGGGCCTTCGAGACTGTGAGAGTCATGCTGGTTTCACAAAGTGCGTCTTAATTATCTCTTGATTTATAGCTGGGATGCATCTTGGGGCACCGTCCTAACTGGGCCAGGTCTTCAGCAGGGCAGAGAAACCCACGAGTCTCTGCTTCCCCCTGAAGAGCACGGCCTCAAATGTTTTCAAATGGAGTCATTACAGTTTTTCTTGATTGCTTTGGCACATTTCATGAAACGTACTTAACATAAGAGCATTTCTCAATGCATACAGCACAACACCATGGTTTAGTTGCAAAAGTCTGTAACTCACCCAAAACAATTAAAACATGTCCCAAACACAAATAATTCCACCAATTAATTAGTCAGTGTCAATGCTTAGATATATTGTTAAAATGTCAGTGTAAGTAAGCTCCAGGAAGCTGAATGATAGTCGGTTCCCACTTTCTCATTGTCGCTGACTGATCATTTTTCTTTAGCAAACTGATACTTATTCATGTCAAAGACACTAGTTTCAACACTGCAAGGCTCTACATTACAGTATGCGAAGTTCACTGGCGAGAGAAAGCACTCGCATGCACATGGAACTTCTTCAGATCCCAAGACACAGTACAATAGCAAACATAAAAGTCACACAGCACTGTATAACACAAAAACAGCAACATGGCAATAGAAGAACAACAAAGGGGCAACAAAATCATGTACTGTGGGAACCAAAAACACATTAATGTCACTGCAATTTATGGAATATATTTTTAAATCATTTTGAAAGCTTGGTTGACTGTTTTGCATGTGGTGACTAACACAATGATCACATACATATAGTTTTGGGTGCAATTCTATTAAAGTGGGAAACTACATAATCTATTTTGACCAACAAGACTAAAGCGACTGACAATTGTGTCAAATGATGACAATTAATACGTATTAAAACATTTGGAAATTTGTGTGAATCAATGAGAAATGATGTCCTGCTGTCTGTAAGTGACATTATGGTGTAGGGATTACACTTGTTGCTTCGCAAATGTTAATTGTCAATTTGAGAAATGCTCCAAAGCAATTGAGAAAAACTGCAATACCAGGTTTGGATCTGGGTGCGAAGACGTAGTCTGTGTTTAAGGATGTAGTACCAAAGTGAGGGCATTGTATTCATTGTACTAACCTGAACGTTTGTTAAATTTTTTATTTTACCAAAAAAGAATGACAACGTTCCGCATTTATTTACTGAAGTCGTTGCACTTGAACTGAAATGTGTTATTTCGTTTAGGTCTGCTAGCAGCGTAAAATTGACTATTTGAAGTCACTGTGATCATTTCATGCATATAATGCGATTTAAACTGCAAATTTCGTTGCTGGTCTCTAGCATTAATGTGGCTTCATGTGTTGCGGAGAATGGATGAAGGATGCAGACATGGAGGCAGAGGTTTCAGTGCCTAGCTGGACTCAGGCAAGTCACCGCTCTCTTTCCCGACACGCTGATCCTCGTGAAAACCTGTTCACGCTAAGAGTGCAGCCCTCTTACTCAGACTGAGTTTGCTGAGGCGGCTTCAGGTGTGGAATTATTCATTTGCTTATTACACTTCTTACATATCGACCCTGACACGTTGCCTGAAACGGCGCCAGAACGAGTAAGACGGTAACCAAAACAGCAGCGCAGAAAATCCTTGCTTTTGCAGCACAACTAAGCTTGATAGTAACAGCACTGAGACTGATATTGCTGGCAAACTGCAGTGAAATGCAGTTGCAAAGAAGTTGGGAAGCTGGAATCTTCAAAGAAGGCGATAACTATCATTGAAATCATGACACGGAAACTGCTAGAACTCTGCGGTAGGGGGATTACGAGGCCGTCATCTTACACACAAAATCTCGACAGTTAGTGGAGGTACACGTTCCACTGTTATTTCTTTAGCGCTTGTGTAAGTGTGGTTAAGGTGAAGGCAGGAGACACCACAGTGGTAAGAGTGATGTAGAGGAACTGCCCTGCAAAAACAGGGGGGGACCTCAAGTGGCATGAAACAGGAAGTCATTTACAGGTGCACAGGAAGTCACCCCCCAAGGAAAAACACACACACTCATGTATATTATAGAAGCACTATAGCAATTCTGAGTACTGCAGTGCTTTTTCGGCACTTGAAAAACTGGAGCGGAACGAATATCTTTCGCAAAAGGCCTTTTTGTATATATGCAAGATAAAAATACTAAAAGTGTAACTTGTCCTGTCATCAATCTCTGTTCAGTCATTTTAGTGTTTGCGTTGAAACACTGAAAGCTGTGACCTTGGGTATGTCTCTTTGTGTTGGTTTCATGTATGTAATTATTTAAGAGCAATATATTAATCTGTCAGCGTTTCAGAGGAACGGCCCTCCAAAATCATGAAAGTCCTACATTATGTATTAATGATATACTGCCATAAAGCACAACGATAAAACAGTTTTGCACATCGTTAACACTATTAGGATACAGGGGAATGACCAAGAAATCATTTGCATACACACATAAGATGACATTCAGGTTAGTATACTGGAAACATTGTAGTCATATATGAATAAATTATGTGAGGCTAGAAGGGGAAATGGAAAGATAATCCCCTTTAAATTTAAAGCTGAGACTTTGTGAGAAATCTGTATATATTAAGAAGTTTAAGAAAAAAGGAATTTTAGTCAAAATTTTACTGTGGTCGCAGAGCGCGTTTGTCTGTGGTTGTTCAGAGATATTTTGGAGACTGGCTATAATTCATTTGCGGTTTGTGTTTTTGTGTGTAAACACAGGAAATAAGGTTCAGTCAAGATGGTGATGTTTAAAAGAAAAATAGACGTAGCGTAAAGACCAAGTTTCCAGGTCGTCATCACGGATGAAGGCAATGTATCATGTTTTCCATGAAGAACAAAACACAGGTTTTCTTTATCATTTTCACTGTTTTCAGAGTTTAACAAATAGAGGTCTCATTCGTCATAACTCAGGTGCCGCGTATTTTAACAATTCAGAGAGGGAGACCGAGGAGCAGTTCTGATATTTACATATTCTAAACGAATATTTAAATGACAAGGAGTTCATTGTGTCTTGTTGTTTTAAAAGTCAGTGGTTCAAACTAAATACACATATACAGTACAGACGCTCCTCTACTTATGAATGAGTTACGTTCTGAATGGCCGTTTGTAACTTGAAATGTTTGTAAGTCGTTATTCAACATCATTTTAAGGGTATCCACAAGTACAAAGCACTAGGATGCTGGGAGTACGCACGCTACGCTGCTGCGCGGCGGGAGTAGCAGCCAGAAGGCGTACTAGACGGAATTGGCGTGCAGGAAAAAAAATTGATGAACACAATTTGGACTTACAGTCCGCTTCGTTCGTATGTCTCAAAGTTCGTAAGTTGAAAGTTCGTAAGTAGAGGAGCGTCTGCAAAAACACTAAATAAACAATATGCTCAATAAACAATATGCCCACTACATATTGATAGTTATGCATGTTTGAGTGTGAATGTATTTCGCTTAGTACATAACAACAAGGTCTAAGTTACTGAAAGAGGCGAGTGTTTGAGGGTAATACTGTAGTCATAAAACATCCAGCCACAGCGAGTTGTAGGTGTATGACTAAACTGGTATAGGGTATGTAGGGTACACAGCAGGCCATCTTTTTTATACCCAAGAGAATTTGTAAGTCATGTCAGAGAAAGGAATTGGACATAGCTTTGTGGACAGGAGGTCCACCCCCAATAAGGGCATCGTAAGCTGGGAGATGTGTTGGGATGAGATGAAGGTGGTGGGCTCTTTCACCACCAGTTTTTCAAGGCATTGTGGTCTTTATCAACGCACTGGGTCTTCACAACACAAAACTGAGAACCACCTTCCCAAAAATAACTTAAAACAAACCTAATAATCAAAGTTTACCAGGAACCACTGGGCGAAACAGCGGTTTGTTCTACAGAGTGATTTAGTAAGTATTAGTTCTTATTTGGGTATGTGTCTGTGTGCCACTTTTTTCAAAAAAGTCCAAAACCCGACAGAGAGACTCCAGAAAAACCCCTGCATAGCTTTTGTTATTGCAGAAAAAAAAACCTACTTATATCTGAATACCATTTTCTCAATGAAATTTGTGGGCGAAGGTGCTGCTAATTTTAGAATAAAAACAGTCTGCTTTATGAAAGAGAAAAACAAGAGACAAGAGCACCGTTTCCTTTCATTTATGACTGTTTAGGAAACAGATTTTTCTCGTTGCCCTCATCCTGTGGCGCTGTGGTTGAGATTCACGCGAAGAGCCAAAAAAACGTCCACAGGGTCTTCAGGATGTAGTTCAGGACAAACTATGACTTATATTTTAATTGATTTTTGAACAATTTAATTCAGACTTTACGTGAAATGGTTACAGAGGCTGTGCTGTCACAATAGCTTGATAATAAAGGCACTTATATCCTTTTAAGCCAAATCGAAGTCATTTATGGAGACCATGACGAAACATAGAATTGAAATTGCACTTTACCTTGACACAACCCCTTCCTCCCATGATAAGCTTCACTTTTTTGCTTTTTACTCAGCAAAAATTGGCCTCAAAGCATTAGGGTATCTAATATATTTATTACCGAATTAATGCACAGGTCCTTGTACTTGAGGATGCCTTGAAAAATCATCTATAAGACAGTTTAAGGCAACATTTCCTAAGTCAATGGGATGGAGGCATGAGGCACTGAGACGTTACTATGTGTTGCCAGGCAGCCTAAGTCTCTGTCACCCATCACCATTCTCCACATTTCTTGGGTCAGGCTGCCACCGCTACTGTACCATAGGTAGGCCACATTTTGTGGAGCATCTTCTATGTCAATCCAAACGTTACCCAAAGCATATCATCGCTTCCTCCTTTCTTGGCTCCCCTTGGATGTGGCGTCACCGCGGTGACCGGGAGTCGGCACCGTCCGCCATGCCACCTCCGTGATGTCACCTTAAGATACCGGCAGGGCATGAAGCTGCACAGCATTTGTTGGCCATCCTGCCTTGGTGTGTGGAACCAAAACACAGAATGCTGGTGCGCAATTTGAAACACTCTTCCCTAAGATGAACGGTAAAGTTAAAAATGACCTAGAAAAGGATACAATTCTGTACTTCTCTCGGTGAACTGAAAATTATAGTGTGCGTAAATAGTAATTTTTTAGTTTCAATGTGTGCTAACACCCAAAACCTATTGTTTAGTAATCATGTTAGAAAGGAATGTACACTGTATGCAGCTGACTATGAAGACAGATGTTGAAATGACAGTCCCAGGCATTCCTCTCAACACATCGTGAGTGTCCTAGAAACAATCTTCTCCAAGCACAGATTCCTGACATCCATCTTGTTGAGGTGTGGCCTCTGGTAAATGCTAGGGGGAGACACCTCGAGTCATTTCCAAAAAGACCCTATACTCATAACCAAACACAGCAACTTGCTCTTCATGCATGCTAACCATTGGCGAGAGGGTGGAGTGCTCACCGGCTTTGATGCCGAAAAGGTCTGCGGCATCCGCAGCCCTTACGATCCATTCGCTACTCATGGCATACAGCACGGCTCAGTTTTCAGACTCATGCGTGCTCTCTGATCAGCGGGCCTGATTAGAACGACGCTTAGCTAGTGTGAGATTTATGCATCGCATCTGCGTTTATTTATTTGTCAGATGTCCTTTGTACAAAGTAAGATCTATCTGAGGCAGCTGTCATAGAGCCAGCTTAGAAACAAGTGCAATTTGTTTATGAGAAAAGAAGCTACATGACCATTGGCTAAAACATGATGGCATAGATGTTATGATGTCATTATGTTATGATGTCATTATGTTATGATGTCATTAAGTAGGCAGACCCAGAGGCGACAATATCTGGGGTGTTTCTCAATAGGCGCACTCGACTGTACTTGTGTTCCCGCGTACCCGTTTTACGTCATCTTCCATTCCCAGCGACCAGTTCCAATACTCAAGAACAGAAGTATGTAGGATGGTTAAAATCCCTGGATGCCGTTCTTGCCCTGCCATGAATATCAAGGATAACTCGGTGGCATCCTCAGCAAATGAGACCAATCCCATGATTCATTGCACTCCAAGCTCATTCTGGGGAGGCAGGTTAGCAAGACCGGTCTTGCGGAGACCACAAGTACGACCTTGGTGTTCTTGGTATTGAGAAACACTACTGCTTTTTTGGCAATATGGCACCACCAGAAGAAGGTCCCAACTCCTACATTCCCCTGAGCCACATGCTGCAGCTACATGCTCAAAATTCCTGGGAAAAAAAACAACTGATAAGACAAAATTAATTTAAATAAAGATCAGAGGTGGCATATTTCAATCATCCATTGTCTGGGCTGTAGGACTTCCTGTCTTGACTCGTATATATACTGAAACATCCAGAAAAAAAGTGCTTGTGTAACTAATCGATTGATGAGCGATTCCTGCAAGAAATGTCACTGATCCATTCATTGGTTTTTTTCCTTTCAGCTTGTAATATGATGTTTAGCTAAGAAACCAGTTTCCACAGTGTCCGCCTTGTGGGTAACGGTTTACAGGAGGACTAAACACAAGCAGTATGGACAGGACCCACCACATTGTCCTACATCAGTGACTGCTGCTCCATTTCTGCTGTAATTCGTGCCCCACAAAGGACACGACAAAGAGCACCCACAGCTAACCTGCAGAATGAAAAAATGAAAAAACTTCATGGCCTGTTGAGGGTAGAAGAGAAAGAAGAAGGAGACCAGCTTGGATGGCGCTGTCCACAGGCAACTGGAAAGTGTTGCAACTCGCAGGTGTCTCCGACACGACCCCCATGCGCAGTGCATTTCCACTTCTCCTATTCTCGATTCTTTCCCTGCCTGTAAACCGGTACTCACCAACAAAGCGGAAAATGCCCGTGCTAAAATAGGCAAATGGAACAAAAAGTAAATTGTAATAAATCTCTACCTGATCGCAGCCATTAAGCTGGACAGGGCCTTCACCGAGTATGATTATTCGGAGGTTCTAGAACATCGCATCGTACGACTAGGGCCACGAATGGGAACGCGACAAGCCAACGCTGCTACATAGCCCAGGGGATGCTGACTTAGCTGGTATTTTCGGGCTCCTCTGCA